CATCTTAAACCCTGCACCCTGCAAGCACCAAGGAAAATGGTTTTTCCAAAAATAAGTTGTAACTGCTGCCCTGCTTCCTTTGTGATAATTCCTTGCTGCCCTGTTTTCCTTGAAATAACTGCTGACCTTGGCTTCTATGAAAAATAGCTAGCTTGCTCTGCATAACGCTGATTGCAAAAAAAGAACGCTGTGCCCCACCAGGATGTGGGTTTTTGCTTAAAACCCTTACTCCCCCTGAGCTCGGGGCCACGGGTTGGAGAGACACTAGTCCTCCATAGTCGCCGGCAATAAATGACCCTCTGAATTGGCTTACTTTGGTCTCAGTGGTGATTCTGTACTTGCTAGGTTACAACAATTAGGGAAAGTAGGAAGACCTATTACCATGTTGAGTCGGAACTGCTCTACAAAAAGACACTCTACTACTGATCTCCCTATATTTGAAACAAAAAATCAGTTTATATGCTTGTTTTATCTTCCACTTTCCCTTCCCTCAGAACTAAAGGTCTTTTAGTGCAGATGCCACCCCCGGAATTTCCAGCACACCAGCATTAGCCTGGGGACCATGTCCTTGTCAAAATGTGGAGAGAAGGAAAAGCTCAAATCAGCCTTAGGAAGGAAGGACCTTACCTGTTGTTCCTAACTACTGAAACCGCAGTCTGGACAGCAGAAAAAGAATGGACCAATCACTACACCCAAGTAAAAAGGCACCGCCCCCACCTCCCCTCCCACCCCTGTCCCCGGAGTCATGGACCATAGTCCAAGGGGAGAACCCTACTATACTAAAGCTAAGAAAAATTTAACACTCTTTAATCTGTTCTATTACTCTTTATTCTTTCTTTGCACTATTGCTGACCATCTAGTTATTAATGTAACCAAGTCAATTTTGCCTCAAGCTATTACATTTGATGCTTGCATTTTTATACCCTGTGGGGACTTGCCAAGTCAAAGACAGCCCTTCATTTCAGAAAAATACCTCTGTCCTTCCAGGCTCTACTCAGACTGGACATTACTGAATTGGGACCATTTAGTCTGGGAAAATTTTGATGAAGACCCCAGTGTCAACCACGAGTCTTGTCCCCTCGATACAGAGCTTTTATGCCATAGTTGGTCCAACGTGCTGTGGACCACTAAACAGCAAGGATGGACAGCCCCAACTAGTACTTGCAGTTTCTTAAAACCATATATTCATTTTACTAAAGGAGTTACCCCTCCCCATTGTCAGACAGATTACCATCTCTGCTCTCCAGAGTTCTTCCCGTTCGCCAAGTCATTTCTATGGTATAGGAGCAGAATACTCAGGGAAGGATCCCATAGGATCCTTTAAAATGCGCTTTATTGCCTCCTCATCTCTTGCACCCCCTTCTCCCTCTCCTAAGTTTTCTGGTAACCGGACCTTCTCTCACCATCTATCCAAGGATAAAACCAAAGTAATTGTAGAGGTTAAAGATTTAAAACAAACTATAGCAATTGAAACAGGGTATCAGGATTAAATGCTTGGCTGGAATGGATTAGATATTCTGTTTGCAAGCTGTTATGCTTGTGTGACAGGCAGGCTAGATAACCAGATTGTCCCCTTTCCACTGAGTGGTCCTCTCACTAACCGGGCACGAGCTGTATGGTACCTCTCTTCCAGAACCCCACAGGCTGGGGCTCTGGGTCATGCAAGACTCTTTCACTACTGTTCCCTGAGGTTAAGAGCCCTGCGGATCAGCCCCTGAGGATCATCTGGCCTCCAGCCCCTAATGTTAACTTCACCTCTTGCCTTTCATGGCAGGGGAAAAAGTTGGCATTCCTTGAAGACTTAACGGGGTGCAGTAAAGCCAAGCCTTTGCAAGAGCTTTCCAATCAATCTGCCCTTGTTAATCCCCAAGCAAATGTGTGGTAGTATTGCAAGGGAGTATTGCCGGGTACTCTGCCAAGTAATTAGAGTAGCACCCGTACTCTACTCCAATTGGCTATCCCTTTCACCCTAGCATTCTGTCAACATGATAAAAAAAAGAAAGAAAAAAAAAAATCATAGAAAAAAAGAAGTGCCCCACATGGGTCCTTTAACCCCCATGTTTACATAAACACTATTGGAGTTACCAAATAAATTTAAAACCCAAGATCAAATAGCTGCAGGATTTAAATCAATATTTTCATAGATGACAATTAATAAAAATTTAAGTAAAATAAATTACATCTATTACGATCAGCAGCAGTACATTAATTACACCAGGATGCTGTCAAAGGGATAGCAGAACTACTAAGGCAAGATACGTAAAGGAAGTTAGAAGAGAAAAAAACAAAACTAAAAATTCAAGATGGGGGATTGTTAGATATTGTGAATCCCAAGTTTCTCTTCAAGGAATCAGTATGTTAGTGTGCTCAGCTCTTTTATTCTTTAATTATCTATTTTAAAGTTTAACTTCCTTGTAGTTTCAGTAAACAACCTTTTCCACCAGTTCTAATTAGTGGTTCACATCTGTTCCCCCAGTACCGTGCCCTGGTCCTGACTCATCCCTGTCACCTACTTTGGTCACCTGCTTTGACCCCTGCTTATCTGCTCTGACCTGCTTGTAACTGTCCTTCCTGCCAAACTAAGCACCCCGCCATTCCGGCTGGTACCCCTGCTCCCTTTAATAGCCAATTGTAATTAGACTAGACAGTGCAGCCGAACCCTAGCCAACAGGGGAATGACACTGCAGTAGGGGCAACCTCCATCAGGCATAATAAGTACCCCTTCCCCTCCTTGTCCAGGTGTGAGGTCACCATTGTTCCATCTGTAAGCCACACCCTTCTATAGAAGTAAATTGCCTTGCTGAGGAAATTTATATTGGAGTGCTACATCTTTTGTGGCATTGAAAATTCTGCTTACAACAAAGAGCCGAGCCTTTTGACCTATAAAATCTCCTACAGTTTAGATTTGCTAATGATACACTTGGATTTAGTTCAACATATTCTCTGTTCTCTGTACTTCTTCCAAAACAGTAGCTATTTACAAGGCTTAATGAGATTCAGTTTGATTAGCAAGACATTAGTGGTAGTATGTTCTTTCATCAGAAGGTAACTAACGGCCATTGATATTCAACACCTAGATCTCTTAATTTATTGAGGGTTACAAAATAGGGGTATTCCACATCTATCAATTCTTATTTATGCATTTGCTAAAATTATTCTACAAAGAGACGTTTCTGCTACCATTTATTTACCACCGATAGAGTTTACATAAGAAAAGCACAGTATCATGCTTTCAATACACCTTAATGGACTCTGTCGCCATCATTCATTTGAAAATCATTTTAGTCAGGGTCACCTTTAAAGTTTCTCTTGCCTAACCCATTTGTAAATTCTTAGACCTTATATAATTTAACACCTTGATATTATAGCACTTGCCAAAGGTCCCTGCTCCCAACTTTTTTCACTTCAAGACTCCATTTTACAACTGTTCTTCCTACTTCATTGAAGGCCTTTCCCAGTCTTTCTTGCAAACTTCTCTTTCTGTTCCTCACCTTTTAATATTAAAGAGGCCCAGCATCCCAAATTTATATCTCCAGCCTCAGCATCCCCCCAAGAGTCCCATAGCCATTTCCATCAGGATGTCTAATATTCTCAGGCTTAACATGGTCTCCTCTTCTCCTCCAAACCTGTACTCATTATCATCCCCATCTGAGGAGTCATCCTTAACTCCTCTCTCTCCCATATTCCTGGTTTCAAAAAATTAACTTTAATCTGATCATTTCTCACCTAAGAGATGTGTGTGGTGTTTTTCTTTAGCCCAGTCCTGAATTTCTGCTTCACCAGCTATAAGGTAGAAAATTAGGCCAATCACATTAATGGCTGCCTTCAAGATGAAGATTTTAAACCAGGCAGATTCTGGATCCTGAGGGATTAAAATTCAAAGTAATTGTAAATTATTGCTCTCGGTTTTTTGTTTTATAACATTTAAAATGTAATATTAAAAATAATATAGACTTATAAGTCTAATGTGGAAAAACACACTTATAAGTAGCTAAAAAAGTCATCATCAATATACATCAATATACAACATCAATATACAACAATATACAACACCATCAATATACAACACCAGAATTACTGCTGGGACCACACTACCCAAAAGAAAGAGAAAAATAGTTTTGATGTCAGTAACATTTGTCATAATCTGTCAAATCTTCCAATTTCAGTATCATGAAACCTAAAAGCACTGGATAATAGAGAAGGAAGACTACATTGGGAATGAGAAATACTGGCCCTGGGGAAAATAATAGAGAGGATAAAGATGACAATTATGGACATACGTATGTGCTTACACTGGACCAGCTGCTACTAATCCTTGCGACAACTTCATGGTTTCATGAAGTATAATACTGAGTCAGAGAGGCTTTATGAGACCTTACTGTAATGCTGGCCTCTAGGCTGGTTGGAAGTTCAATACAGAATGCCGCAAAGTGGCAAGCCCAGATAGTCTCCATTTCTAAATGAGTCTTGTCTGGTTATTATGGTATCAAACAATAGGAGGTTGCCTGTAACAGTGATTCTCCAAGCCACATAAGCAGTGGGTATGCCAGTTCTTCCAAAGCAAGACTTGAGTCTTGGCTTTATAACCAAAATTCATTGCCTTATCTTGGAGAGAGGATTGGTAAAAGGTTGGCAGAGTGGCAGGGTGTGGCTAAGTGATTTTCAGGGGAGGCCCCCAGTCCCTGTAGGGAAGGGTGATGTTGAGCCTTAAGTAATATACAAAGGGAGTCACACAGTGAATGGGAGACAGGGAATGTGTGGAAACATAGATGCATGTGTGCTGTTGCTGGAGTGCTAGTCACTTATGTCTACATCATCGCCTTCTGTTCTGGGCAGTGTTCGTATAAAAAGCAGAAACAGTGAGTTTCCATGTGAAGAGCAGTATACAAATAGTGTAAGGAGCTGACAAGAGCTGAGACTAGGGTCATTAGAGACAGAAAAATGAACACAAAATCTTTCATGAAGTTAAAAAAAAAAAACAGAACAAATGGTATACTTACCTCTTTTATATTAACATGAAGCATGGAGTCAATGAAAATTGGAGTGTACACTGTCGTGATGTTATTTGACCAGAAAAAAGTAAAACTACCAATGGAAATAGCCCAGACTGGAAGTGATTTAAGCATAGCCTTGATAGGCAGAGATTGTCTACTTGAGCTGACCTGGAAAGAAATTCATTAATCATTAGCACATTAGAACAAACTGGAACATGTTTAGTTTGGAGTAGAATCTTGGAGATGCCAATATGGAGAACTGTGTTTTACCTGCTGGACCAGGGAGGATGTGATGTATTCCTTTTCACTGATGCTTATGCATGGGTGGTCCTTGGGGTCATCGTAAAACAGAAAGAGCCAGAGAAGACATAGAGCACAGTCACAAGCACCTATCAAAGAAGAATAAGTAGAATTGGAAGTTTCTGTTTGTAGTGGATCTTTGTCAAGTTGGGATTTTTCAATGTATTAGTCTGAGAAACTATACCTCCTTTATCTTTTATGAAACTTTGCAACAAGGCTTATATTTTTCACAGTTCTCCTTTTATCTACAGGGACCTCTCCCTACTAGATGAGTTTTACAGAAATGGTGGTAAGCCCTATGCCCTTTCCTGATCTCCTATCCTCTGCATCCCTCCACGCATGACAGCTGGGCCTCCCTGCCCTCAGGCCCTCTTCCTTTCAAATTCTTCATGTGTTCCACCATAAGAGTATGGTACAGCTGAGCCTGCACAGGGCTTGACATTGCCCATTTTTTTTTTTAACGTTTAAGTTCAGGGATACATGTGCAGGTTTGTTATATAGGTAAACTTGTGTCATGGGGGTTTGCTGTACAGATTATTTCATCACCCAGGTGTTAAGCCTAGTACCCATTAGTTATTTTTCCTGATCTTCTCCCTCCTTCCACCCTCCACCTTCCTATAGGCCCCAGTGTGTATTGTTCCCTTCTATGTGTCCATATGTTCACATCATTTAGCTCCCACTTATAAATGAGAACATGCGGTAGTTTTGTTATTGTGTTAGTTTGCTAAGGATAATGACCTTCAGCTCCATCCATGTCCCTGCAAAGGACACGATCTCATTCTTATTATGGCTGCATAGTATTCAATGGTATATATGTACCACATTTTCTTTATCCAGTCTATCATTGATGGGCATTTAGGTTAATTCCCTGTCTTTGCTATTATCAGCCAGTTTTGACAGCTTAGCCTCAGCCATGTTCCTGAGATACAGCCCAGGCTTCAGGGATTATTGGAGTTCCATAAGAGTTTGACAAATTGTTTCTTTGAGTTTTTTATATTAATAACTTGACCATGAGGAATTCTCTTTTGGGACAGGATGTATATAGTGCTCACCAGTCAGTCTTCCAGAAGACTTGCATTCATTTGACAAATATTGATTAAGTGCTGATTACATACCATGCACCTGTTTTAAGTACTGGGGATATAGCAGTGAATAAAATGGACAAAAATCTCTGCCTTTATGGAGTTGACTTTGTAGTGGATAAAAAAGAAAAAGATTATTCAATCAACTGCCCCAAAATTCATACAATACTGTTTGTCTCTTTTTCAAAATGAGCAAACTGAGGCAAGGAAAGATCAAATTATTTGTGGGACACAAATGTTAGTGAGTGGTAGTTTACCCTTAAGCATGAATTATCTTGTCCAGAGAGAAATTACAGCCCTAGATGGGGAGGCTGGGGTGGAACTCTGATGAAAGATAAGAGTTAATGGCAGGTAGAAGAGGATAAGTTGGCAGAAGAGACTGAGAAAAAAAAAATGGCCATAAGGATGAAGTCCAATGTAGAGAGGGTAGAGTCAAAGAAACTGAGATGAAAAGGAATGGTCTGGAAAGTTTATAAAGAATCAAAAGAAAATGCTGGAAATAAAAATAGTATAGTAGAAATAAAGAATGCCTTTGATGGACTCATCGGTAGACTAGACTTGACCAAGAAAATCAGTGAGCTTGATAAAATGGCAATAGAAATTTCCAAAACTGGATTGCAAAGACAGAAAAAGAACTAAAAAGACAGAATGGGCTGGGCACGGTGGCTCGTGCCTGTAATCCCAGTACTTTGGGAGGCTGAGGTGGGTGGATCACCTGAGGTCAGGAGTTTGTGACCAGCCTGGCCAAAATGGTAAAACTCCATCTCAACTAAAAATACAAAACATTTATCTGGGCATAGTGGCGCACGCCTGTAATCCCAGCTACTCAGGAGGCTGAGGCAGGAGAATCATTTAAACTCAGGGGGTGAAGGTTGTGGTAAGCTGAGATCACACCATTGCACTCTAGCCTGGGTGACAAGAGCAAGACTCTGTTTCAAAAAAAAAAAAGACAAAAAACAAGAAAGAAAGGAAGAGGGAAAGAAAGAAAAAGAGAGAAAGAGAGCAAGAAAAGCAAGCAAGAAGAAAGGAAGGAAGGGCAAGAAAAAATCAGAAAAACACTTAAAGCAATAATAATGGAGAATTTCTTAAAGTTAGTAATAAACCTCAAACCACAGATATTGGAAGCCTAAAGAATGCCAAGAAGAGTAAATACAGAAAAAGTTACAACCTGACATAGTGAAACCAAATGCCCCCAGTTTTTTAAGAAAAAGGGATTGTTTTAAAAATTTTCTCTTCTTCTCTCTTTTCCCTTTTTCCTCTTGCTTCTCATTTCCAAATTAGCCCTTCAGAAATTTAAATATAACCTTTCACCTCCTCCCCTCACCAGACATTCTCTATAGGGAAAATTCTTCTAACTATGTACTCCAAGACATAGCTCTGGTCCAGAGGTGACAGTCAATTGCGCACCAAATTGCCGGGGAACTTTCATCTCTAGGGTATGGCCTAGGAACTTCCACTCTCCAGGAGTGGCTTTGGAACTTTGTTCCACCAGGAGGGCATATGGAAAGCATGCTTTTTTGGTCACTTTTTCAACCTACTTCTGCCCATGAAAAGTGCCACCTCAACTGTGCAGTCAATAACTGCCTGGTAGCAAGGGGACCCATATTCTTTCACTTTTTTTTTTCACCACTTCAGCTCCAAAGGTGAAGTGGCACATTTAAGCAAGTAACTTCGTGTTCCTTCCCCAAGCTAATTTTGGAATAAATCCACTTTCCTTGTACCAGGCCCAACTCTCGTTAATTGCACTCTACAAATAGTAAGCAACAAACATGATTTTCAGTTACAATATAATATTCAACTTCAGTAAATCAAGGACAATTTTGAAAGATGCCAAAGGGAAAAACAATGGCCTGAAGAGTCAGGTTTAAATTTAGAATTCTGAAGACAAATCTCTGGCGACTAGTTGGAAGCTTGACCTGTTCCTACCCAGATCCATCCCCACATCACTAGGTACTTTGAATGGATATGTGTGGAAATCCTTGCTTTCCCCATTGTGCATCACTCATATCTTCTGCAAGTAGTGCCTCCTTCCTCCCTTGGTCACTACCCAATTCAATGAATATTGGGAAGAGCTCTGCTGGTCTTTTCCAGTATAACCAATAACCTTGGTTCTATGTAATCAAGACATTCCAGTTATGATTATTAGAAGGAGAGTCATGGGCTCTACTGAGGCCACTGTCTTGGCACCTGGCCTATGAAGAGAACCTAGCTAGAATGGGCTCTCTACAGTGTGGAATCCAGGACAAGGGCCCTTTTGCCTGGGCCTCAGGTCAGCTCTGACAGAAGCCATAAATCATCTTGGCAACAGCTGTGTTTGATGGTACAAACACTGGTCAGATGTGAGTTAAGGAGAGTGTGAGAGGCTGGGAAATGTAGGCAATGGGTACAGACAGATTATGCAAAATAATTTCAATGGTCAAAGGGAGTTTACTTGAGATGGAGGACAGGGGAAAGGGCATCCTTTTATAGATTTGAGAAGAGTTAAGTAGTTTGAAATAGTCTTTAGGAGACAAATATAGCACGATGGCAGGCCATTTGGAGTGCAAATGTAAGTCTGTGACTCAATTTGCTCTATTTCGTAATTTCTAGCAATTTTCAGCTGCTTAAATATAGTCATTGTCTTATTCTTTAAAACAGTATTTATTCAGATTTGTTTAACTTTTTTGGCAAGAATATTCAAATGGAATTTTAAACAATCTTGGTTTTAGTTTTTCCTTTGCCACTAACTTGGAAAGGTCATTTGACATATGTGGCTATCATGTAATTTCTAGTTATATCATGGAGCCACCCATGATAACTGTAAGTGGCATATATTACTTTACATGATCTTATAGGAATACAACATAAATATTAGATACCATCTAACCGTTGATCAGCAATCCTGCGCAGCATTATTTATTGAAACTGAGCTGAAACATAGAGCTGAAACCTCACACCCCCACCCCCGCAATTTCTACATATTTGGGTTAGTTTTATAATTCAAAACAGGTCTGCATTTTATTTGTGTCACAATCCTACAAGGTATCATCTCTCAAGTTTTCTCTTCTTCAGGCTAGACATTCTCAGTTTTTTCAGCCCCTTTCCTGATAAGGGGCTATGTTTCATCACTATACTGACCATTGTTTGCTACTGAAGACTAACACAGTCATTAACAGCAATGGAATTTTGAGTATGGAAGATGTGTTTTCAGATTATGGCTCTGTCGTCTGCTCACTGTGTGTATTGGATGTCTTCTGTTTGTCCCCCTAGTGTACTCCTCATCCTTCTTTACTTTGCCTTGGCTACAGATGACTGACTTGAATCAACGTCAGTAGGCCCCCATGTCCTCTGCTTCCACCTGGATTTGGCCAACAGAAATTCCAGATAGAGATGAGAGGGAGAGAATTGAGTGTAATCCAGGTGCCTTTTCAAACCCTAGTTATCTCCATCCTACGATTGCCTCAATCTATATGTCCTTTTATAAAAAATCATGAGTTCTTTTAAGGCATCCTGCTCTGTAGGACTCTCCCCTAATGGATTCTGGTAACTACTCCCTTGCTTGATCCCTTTGAATCTGGGGATGCTAGATGCTACTGGCTCCTGTATTGCTAGCCCAGGTAACTCCACTATCCCTGGGATTCTACCTTATCTCATACCTACCTTTTTAAGTGATCACTTTGTAAATAAATTATTCTGATTTTGCCTTAAGTATATCTTTGGGCGAGTTACCTAAGCCTTTTGAAGTTTCCTCTCATGTCAAATGGCCATAATAGAACCTATCCATATTTTCTTATTCACAAACCTGAAAACTTTTGCATCGAAGAGCCAAAAATGATTTTATCACTTATTTGTAAATCTTATTTCTGTACAGTTTTTTTTGTATGTTCTAGTTTGCACAAATTTCATTTTTTGCTGTGGAAATTAATGTGTTTGATTATGGGGTTGTGCTCCACATCATGCTTTGAATGTTAAGTATAAAAGGTAATATCTTTCTGAAATCTGTAAAGTTATTTGTTTTGATCGTCTTTTTCTGGGAGAGTTTCACATCAAAGCATATTCATCTATAGCACCTACATTATAGAATTATAAAAGTTATGTACAAAAATACATGTATAGTTATAAGCATCATAATGCCTTGCTTGTGACAGAAACTTAATGAATATTGTCTTTTCTCTTTCACTCAGCGGGGTTCGTGATTTTTAATGTTAGTTTTATATGATTTTTATACAATTTTATATGAATTTTATTATTTTATATTGGGTTTTAATGTTTAAATTTTTCTTAGATTCTGTGTAATAACCAGAATTTTACAGAAAGAGACTCACCAAAAATATATAAGACCATGGGCCAGCCCAGAGATTGACAAATAACTCCAGTCACAACCAGGACAATAAAGAGTCCCAATAAAAACCCTAATCAGAAAGTACAAAGAACACTTCTAATTAATGCAGGCATCTGAAAGTATAGATAATGTAACCTCACTGTAGCAAAGACCAATTTCCTGTGAAATAAATTTGTGTAGCATAACACTGATCAGAAGAAAATAACAAAATATTTGCTTTTCTCTCTTTTTCTCTATTGTTTGAAATAAGAATGCCTCTTCTCCATTCTATACAATTTTCTCATCTTCAAAGCCAAAATGCTGAAATAGATGATTTCCAAAGCCCTTGACAGTTCAAAACACACGTTTCTTACGACTCAAGGAAAGAACATAATACAATGAGACGAAAATGGGATTCAAACATTCTAGGCTCTAAGTCTTTACCTGATGCACTCATAGAAGTAAGTCGACCTCATTCCACGGGAGGAGCCCATTTGACATGTATTTCAGATTGGGCTGTTCCAACTATCCCCTGAAAAAAGAAAGTTTTGACATTTAATCTCTAACACTTCCTATGAATTTAAACTCCGTTCAGTTTTAGCATTATTTTAATACCTGGGCTACTGCCTGAACTGTTCGACATGCAATGAGCCAAGCTTCTCCAATTCCAGCTGCTGGTGGGATGAGCAGGCTTAACACAGAGCTAAGGCATAATGCAAAGCCAATTATTTTCTTTACAAAATATATTCTAGAGAAGTATCCAATAGGAACTTGGATGATGATGAAACCATAGAAGGTGGAACTCAAGATGATTCCCTGGATATCTGGGCCCCAATTATACACAGGGTTCTAAAAGACAAGCAGGGATACCTTGAGTCACTCTGCATATCATACATTTACTGTGGTATTTAGGGATTTAGGGAAACTGTTCTTCTGGCTCACCTCATGTAAGGTAGCTCACCTCATGTAAGGTAGCTCCCCTCTTACCTAGTATTCTTTAACCCAGGACCTTCTTTATTCTTTTATCACACCATTTTCTCTACTTATTTACATTTTACTGTTGGAGTAAAGTCCTCACAGCCAAGGACACTATCTGTACCTCCCTTCAGTACCTTCCACAGCACAGACATTTAATGTTTGTTTCTTGAATGTTGCTAAACTGCATGTAAACTCCTCCTGCATAGCATACATACATTAAAATAGTTAATTTCCTGTATTTCATAGCACTGCTTACACTACAGTTGTGAATTTCCTCTTGCCTGTTCTCTTTCTCTAAGGCGTCCATTAATTTAAGCTCATTCACAAAACCACTTTTCTACATATACATAGTGCTCCCAGAGAGAAAAGTTATGATAGAGAGAAGATAAAATCATGAAGAGATCTCAGCCTGAGCTGTAAAAATAACTACACAGGACAGTTAAAAGGAAAAGGCCATTTCTATTCTTGCACTTGGCTCTGATGTGACGTATTTTTTCCAGGAGTATATTTGTTTGTCCATTCCTAAGTTAGAGGGCCATCTATAGTTGTTTTTTACATTATTAAAGGAACGATAAAAGAAAATTCTAATATTGAATTTATTGTTGAGATTACGAGGGAGCAGGTTGCACATGTTTTTGGACCCACCGAACAGAAAGAAATTTTAATGGTAGTAGGGGAGGATAGGATAAAGTTTATTTGAAAATGTCTAAGATAGTTGCATTCTCTGAAGTTTCTCTGTCAGTTTCATAATTAGGAGGAACGTATTAAGTAATGAAGGGTTTCCTGAATAAACAGTGAATGTGCTGGTGTTATTTTTGTTTGAATATTAAATATAATAGGTAGGAATCCATATGTTTGTTGTCATCAGTATTATTTTATCCCACCATTCCTCTTTTTTTCTTTCCTTTTCAAGTCCCTGTCACCCTGTAGCTGTGGCCTCTAGAGTGTAATATTTCTCTTGGCTGGAAAATGACCTCCAAGGAGAAATCTGGGAGGAGTGACTCTCCAAGGGTACAAAATAATAACCAGTAAGACATATCCATGTTGTAGCTAGGGTGCCAGGGAATTTCCAGATCTTTTCCATTGAGGGGAAGGGGGCTACCCAGAAGATGAAGGAGGTTTTGTTTGTTTTTCTTCTTTTTAATCACAGGCAGCACTTAGGAAGACAGTACCCACCCTTACCCATATCAGGTGGGCCAGGAGGCATTTGTTCCACTCTCCCTGTGCATGTGAACAGATCACTTAAAATCGTGGATAGTTTTTCTTATGGCTTAAAGCTATCACTCTCCATAGCAGAATGTAGAAAGTAAAAAAAGTTCACCAGAATTGGTTTAAAAACCTTGAGCTCAGAGCGTAAAACCTCAGTTTATATTTTTCTATTCAATGCATTAACTGGTTGCCATTGAAGAAAGTATTCCACATATAAATGTATAAATGACTCTATATAAATCTTAAAAAGAAATATATATACACATTTGTATGGGTCATATAAATGAATAAGAAATATGCAATGCTTCAATGAGGAAAATATATCAAGGGTATCAATAGATAATTTATAAGAGGACAAAATGGAAATGATCAATAAACATAGATCACAGAAATATACAAATGTGTAATCCCATTAGTATGAAAGAATATCTACTTTAAAGTTATGGCAGAATTTCTGTCAGGTTGGTAAACTTTAAAAAGAATAATGACACATTCTCCTTGACTTTGATGGAAGAGGGAAGATTGACTACAGAATATTCCTCGTTTATCTTCTTTCTTATCTTCTTTTCTATACTCAGTATTTCTTACTGGGTTTAAATATCTGTGTGTGTCTATTCTTCCTTGTTTTTCTTGTTATTTCGTGTTTTTTTCTAAAATATTCTTTCTGACTTTCATAATACTTTCCTGTCGATTTCCTTTTTTTCATACATCTGTTGTGTGAGCATAGCCTCCTGTGGTCTGGCCATGTCTACCTTGAGTTCTTGCAGGTACTGCACTGTGGTGCTCCTTTCATAGCTGTAATTGCTTTACTAATTTTTAGGTTATTTTGTAATATTAGACTACAATTTGGATCTGCTTTGAGGAATAATTTTCTGGTGTGTCTTTCTATTTAGAATAAGTATGCATTCTATTTCTTCACTTTTAAATGTAGTACCTTATATATAGCAGGAAACTGAATTGTGACAGGAAGTTTCATGGGATGACAAAAGGTTTTGTGGAGTGGCAGGTTGATGCATGTCCTAGAGAAATCTTCCAAATTCCATAGCTCATGATCTTCCTCCTCTTTTAGAGCTATAGTGAAGGCTCTAAAATACAACTCCTATGAGAAACCATTTCTTTAGAATATGAGGTTCTGAGTATTTAAACCAAAGCACTGGAATACCACAAATATTTAAGAATGTAGTTCAAAACACATACATAAAATAGATTTTAACAGATTTTTGATAATCAGTACAATAAACTTTATCCGTATATATATACTTGTGAAGTGTAACCACAATTAAGACCATGAACATATATTTTATCTCCAAAAGCTTCCCCTTACTTTTTTTGTAATTCTTCCCTCCTGCTCTCTCCCACCACGGATCTGCTGCCTGTTTCTTAACTTAGTTTACATTTTCTAGAAGTTTTATATTGAGGGAGTCCTATGTATGTACTCTTTTTGACTGTCTAGCTTATTTCACTTGACATAATTATCTTAAGTTTTATTTATATTGTTCTTTATGTCAGTAGTTCATTCTGTTATACTGCTAAGGAGTACTCCATTTTATGGATGTGCCATAGCTTGTTCATTCATTCACCTGCTGAAGGACATTTAGGTTATTTCCAGTTGTTTAGCTATCAGAAATAAAGCTAGACAACAATGTTCATAGAACATTTATGTACAAGTCCCTGAATGGACATATGCTTTTATTTCTCTTCAGTAAATAACTAGCAGTGGAATGACTGTATCATATAATAGGTGTATGCTTAATTTTTTATGAAATGAATAAGTGTATTCCAAAGTGGTTGTACCACATTGCATTCTCACTAGCACTGTAGGAGAATTCTCGTTCCACTACATTCCTGCCAACACTTTGTATGTGCAATCATTATAATTTTAGCCATTTGAATCAGTGTGTAGTAGTTTATCTTTGTAGTTAATGTTTGTCTCCAATGGCAAATGATATAAAGCATCTTTTCATGTGAATATTTTCCCTCTGTGTATATCCTTTGGTGAAATATCTGTTCATATCTTCTTTCTATTTTTTGTATTGGGTTGTGTTTTTAAATTGAGTTTTGATAGAAGTTTGTTATAAGATATGATTTGCAAATATGTACCCCTACTGCTGGCTTGTTTTTTTATTAAATTAACAGTATCTTAAAATCTGATGAAGTCCAGTTTTATGTTTGTTATTTTTTATATATTGAAAAATCAGTTGTTCATATTTGTGTTAGTCTCTCTATTGTATTTCATTGATCTATTTTCTGTCTTTACATTAATTCTACACTGTCTTGATTACTATAACTGTCTCGAAATTAGCAGTAGGTAGTATTAGTTTTCCAACTACTAATTTTCAACGAACATTGAGGCAATTCAGTAGAGAAAGAATAGTTTTCTCAACAAATTATGCTGGAAAAAAATTGTATATCCATATGTAAAAAAAGATTTTTAATGCAAATATACAAAAAGTAATTTAAAATGAATCATAGATTAAACTGTAAAATGAAAAATTATAAAACTTCTAAAACATAGAAGAATTCTTTTGATCTTGGGTTATGCAGAGATTTCTTATATGCAATAACAAAAGCCCAATCCACAAAAAAGAGTCAAAAAAAAGTTCTTCAGGCAGAAGAAAAGTGATATAGCTAAAAAATGTAAGTCTACAATTAAGAAGTAAGACCATTAGAAAAGAATAAATGAAAGTGGTAAATATTTTGTTTTGAATTAATCTAAAAGATAACTTTTTGTTGAAGGAATGTTTTGAGGGTTTATAACATATAGATACATAAAATGAATAACAGTAGTCACAAGAGATGGGAGAGTGGAATCAGAAATATTCTGTTACATGAAGCCTTCATGATACATGAAATAGTATAGTGTTATCTGGAGGTAGATTTATATTATTAAAAATGTATATTTAAAAACCTATGGAAACTATTAAAACAGTTTTTTAAGTGTAAATAATATATCAAGAGAGAAGATAAAATTCAGTCATATAAAATGCTCAGTTAAACCCAGAGAAGGGAAAATGTGAATGAAAAAAAAAGTTTAACAAAGAATAGATTTAACAAATAGAAAATAGTTACCAAGTGTGTATTTGTCTGTTCCACCTTTGAGTTCTCACAGTGTTTGCCTCCTACAAATTGTGCTGCTCTGTTGTTACGGATACAAGTATTTAGAATCATTTGTTTTTGGAGTAATGCCCTCTCTTTGGTTATTTTCATTGCTATAAATTCTGCTTTTTCTAAAATTAATATAGCTACTTCAGTTCTCTTTTGATTCATGTTTTCATGGTTGCATAGTTTTTCATCTCTTTACTTCTATCTGAGTCTTTGTATTTTAACAGGATTTCTTGTAGATAGCGTATTTGAGGATATTTATTTGTTATCAATTCTAACAATTTCTGTCTTTTAGCTGGTGTGTTTAGAACATTGACATTTAAAGTGATTATCAGTGTAGTCAGATTAAAATCTACCATCTTTTAACATTCCTTTTGTGGTAAGCTTGCTGGCAATAAATTCCCTCCACATATATATGTCACCTACTGATGGACATTTAGAAATTAAAAGACAATAAAGGCTTTCTCAAGCTATAACTATAGCTTGAAATTTTATAGTCTTTCAATTTTGTCAATAATTTTATTGAATATAGAATTCTAGATTGGCAGGGGTTTTCTTTCTTTCAACACATTAAAGAGTTCACTTTTCTCTCCTTGTTTGCATGGTTTCTGATAAGAAGTCAACTGTAATTCTACTTGTTCCTCTGTAGGTATTTTCTTCCTCTGGTTTTACTGAAATGTTCTTTTTGTCTTGGTTTTCTGCAATTTAAATATGATATGCCTAGGTGGCTTTTTTTTGATAGTTTATCTTTTTGCTTTTTATCTTACTTGGTGTTCTCTGAGCTTCTTGGATCTGTGGTTTGTTGTCTGTCATTAATTATGAAAAGTTCTCAGCCATTTAAAAAAAATTTCTTGTTTCCTATTCTCTCTGGCATTCCAACCATGCACACGTTACACTGTTTGATACTGTCTACAATTTGGGAATGATCTGTTAATTTTTTTTTTTCATTCCCTTTCTCTTTGCATTTCAGCTTGGGAAATTTCTTTTGATCTATCTTCATGTTCACTAATTATTTCCTCAGTGATGTGAAGTCTACTGATGAGTCTGTCAAAGGCATTCTTTGTTATAGTTTCTTTGATTTCTAGTATTGATTTTTTCTTCTTTTTGTTGTTTCCATCTCTTGACTGACATTACCTATCTTGCTTTTATTTTTCTTGCATCTGCATCTTCTGGCAGATAACAACTGATTGTCTTCCCAAGATGAAATTAATGAAACATTTAAATGTCCTGCATGTCCAAAACTTAAATAAAAAATGTAATGTGTCTTCATCTTCCACTTCTGGTTTAAAATGCTTTCCATTTTTTTCCTCTTGTCCAAATTTCTTGATTGTAAAGAAGCCCTAACTCTTGGGTTTTATTCTCCCTCATATAGAAGGATTTACACAACAAGCTCTTCGGAAGTGTTGAGCCATCCTTTAATCATGGAATATTTTATTTAGGCCACTACTGGCAAAGTAGATGAAGACTTGAGCTTCTTTTTCAATTATATTGTTATATCCATACAATTCAATCTCTACACAAATTAGTTAAAAAGACAGGCTTGTAAACATTTGACTATGGGGAAAATTATAGATATACCTTTATATTATCCAGGAGCTTCTTTGTGGAGGTGTTGGGCAAACCATGTGGATCTGTACTGTTCACCATGACTACCATTGTGAGGTTCAGGCATGTACATTGTGCCATTCTTGTAACATTACAACAGTGCAAAAGGAAAGACAATCCATAGCGAAAGGAACAGAAACCTGGAGCTACAAAGTAGAACAGAAAGTCTCAATTGTTGACACAGCTGAGATAAAAACATACTTTAACTATAGAAGGGCTATTCAGAAATTTGGAGCCCATGATATTAATTTAAAATTTTATTGTACTTAATGGCCTTTGTGAATTACTACATAATAGGAAGATGTGTGACTGATATAGTGATATCATATTCTCCTTAAAATTATAATGCCAACTAGAAATTCCAAGAAAATTAAGCCAGTCTTCCAAGTTCTTTGGTTCATGTCTATTTTTAAAAAAATTTATTCATTATACTTTAAGTTCTGGAGTACATGTGTAGAACATGCGGGTTTCTTCCATAGGTACACACGTGCCATGGTGGTTTGCTGTATTCATCACCCTGTCATCTACATTAGATATTTCTCCTACTGCTATCTCTTCCCAAACCCTTTACCCCCTGCTATCCCTCTCCTAGTCCCCGACCCCCTGACAGGCCCTGGTTTGTGATGTTTCCCTCCGTGTGTCCATGTGTTCTCATTGTTCAACACCCACTTATGAGTGAGAACATGCAGTGTCTGATTTTCTGTTCTTGTGTCAGTTTGCTGAGAATGATGCTTTCCAGCTTTATCCATGTCCCTGCAAAGGACAGGCTCATGTCTACTTTTTAAAAAACGCTTTAAAAATACTCTGTGTTACTCTTGAAAGTAAGTCCCCTTAATAACAATGAAGACATTTTCTGTCAAGAAAACTATTCCTTTTCCACTGTTTAAAGAATACTCTGGTTGAAAGACTCATATATGCTCAATGTGGAGAAAAATGGCACTTTAAAAAAATGTAATTACTTGCTGATATAAGCTGATCAGCTGGTGTACAGCTGATTACAAGTTCACTGATGGAAGAAAGTAGGAAGTCCAGAAACAAATACACATATATGGTTAACTTTTTAAAAATAAATGTACTAATGTAATTCATTGGAGAAAAGTAAAGTATTTTTCAACAAATGACATTTTTTTCCAAGAGAAATATAGGTATATGTCTACAAAACAATATGTACAGAAATGTTTATAGCAGCTTTATTCAAAATAGAAGAATGTTTGAAAAGAGTGGACATACCATGGTATGTTAATACAATGCATATTACTCAGAAATAAAAGAAACTGCTTATACACAACAATCTGCATAAATCTGGATGCATTTCAACAAAAACATGCTCAGTTAACGAAACTAGAGACCAGACAGTATATACTATAGGAATCTAGTTTTACGAAGTTCAAAAACAGGCAAAGTTAATCTATGTGGCCCCTCCATCTTCAAAATCAGCAATGGGAATCTACTTTATGTTGAATCCCTCTCACACTTTGAATCTACCTACTCTGTCTCTGACATGTACAACCAGATTTAAAGTGCTCATGTGATTAGATCTGTCCTGCGTGCATAATTTCCCTATTTAAGATCAACTGATTTGGGAACATTACTGGGAGAAAGTGTGTATACACCAGGGGCTGGGAGTGTTGGGAGTAAACTTAGAATTCTTCCTACTACAGGACACCATCTGGCCTTTAAAGAGCCTTGTTCCTCCTACATGCAAAACATATTCACCCCATTTCAAGCTTCCCAAATTCTTAATGTTATTACATTATCAGCTCAAGTTCAAAACCTCATCAAAATGTCATTAGTCCAAAATCTCATCATCTAAATCCAGTTGTGAAAGAGACACCTATGATTAATCCATCCTAGGGCACAATTTCTTTCTGTGGGCTTGTGAAACTAAAGAGGCAAGTTAAATGCCCCTAACACTCTTAGCATGTAATGGTGGAACAGGTGTAGGATAAAGCTATAGACAAGGGGGTGGGGTGGGGAATAACAGAGGAGAAAAGGAGTCATTGATCCATGAAGGTTCTGAAGTTCAAGGCTAGTGTTGGATTTTTCATGAGGTCTGGAGATAATTCTTGTGGCTCTTGGCTCTACCCTCTGGGCTCTGGGCTGTAATTTCTGTGCTCATGGTTCCACCCAAGAATAAAACAGGAGCCAGGAAGCTTGGGAGTCATCTTGGAATTCTGTCTACTGCACATTCATAGTTAACTAATAATTTTTTATTGCAAATAAATATTAACTTCATAAATAAATTTTTTATATCTAATGAGATAATCATACAGTTTTTCTCTTTTAACTTTTGTGGAGTGACATGTATACATTTTCTAACATTAAATTACTCTTTCATTTTGAGGATAAACCTGACTTGGTTGCTTTTTTAATGTTTTTATAAATTCTTAGATTTGTTCTGTTAATATTTTATTTAGGATTTTGTATCTTCATAATTTTCATAGGGCTTTTTTGCTTTATATATTGGAAACTATTTTATTAGATGTATAAGTATTTTATATCATCCTATTGAATTGAATTTCATATCATTTTATAGCATTCATATAGAATTGTTTGAATTAGTAAAATATTGTAAACAAATTAGATGTCTATAAATTAGTGACCATTTAAATAAATTATAATATATCCATCCATACTTCAGCTCTAAAAATGAGGAAAAATCTCTGCCTAAAATTGTGGCATACTCTTTAGATAAACTGTTAAATGAAAAAAAGCATTAGTACCCAATAAATAGTTGGCTAGTTTTCTTGACTAGCCTGAGCCTCCATTATTAAAAGATAAGAATATTAGATAAAATATATTTAAAATAAACCATTTCATTAAAAGCATGGGTGATCTAAAAGGAAAGATGAGGGCCGGGCGCAGTGGCTCAAGCCTGTAATCTCAGCACTTTGGGAGGCCGAGGCGGGTGGATCACGAGGTCAAGAGATCGAGACCATCCTGGTCAACATGGTGAAACCCCGTCTCTACTAAAAATACAAAACATTAGCTGGGCATGGTGGCGCGTGCCTGTAATCCCAGCTACTCAGGAGGCTGAGGCAGGACAATTGCCTGAGCCCAGGAGGCGGAGGTTGCGGTGAGCCGAGATCCCGCCATTGCAGTCCAGCCTGGGTAACAAGAGCGAAACTCCGTCTCAAAAAAATAAATAAAAAAATAAAAGGAAAGGTGAAATATTCAGGCCAAGGGCTTAGTGAAGGTGGGAGCCTCAAAACATAAGTTGAGCATTAAAGTCAGATTTTTCACTGTGCAGTTTTGATCTTGGGATTTTTTTGCCTTCCACAATACGGAGACCACAGGAATGAAATACCAAGGCCCTAGAATGGAATAGTATGTAGTAGGAGACCCTCTTCTAAAATGCTTAGATGCTAAAGACTTACAAGATCAATGAAGGATGAACACATTGCTCCCGAACATTGTTAGTGGACTGCCAAGAAATTTTGTGCCATATGATCTTAAGAGCTGGATAGAAGGGGGCAAAAGAATACCCCTGAGAAATTTAATCATCAGCCAGTGCTTTCTTTGATTTGCAGCCTAAACTCATAATCTTAGGGAGGTGAATGGATCTAGAAAGCTATCAGAAACCTTGTACAAAAACACCCCTGCAGGAGAGAAGAAAGCCTCTATGTGGTAACAGTGAAGTCATTGTCACCATGTCAGAGAGGGGCTCATTGTCTTAGTCATTTAGGGGTGCCCTTTTGAGTTTTACTCATTTCTCTCCTTCACATTTCTCCAGGAAGTACATAAATTATGTCTAAATAAGTTTTGAGTCAAAAAGAAGACCATAAGGGGAATTCTAAAGAGTTTGGGAGTGAGTAACAGTAAGAATACTGCATATCAAACTCAGGGACATGGTAAAATGTGCATCTGTAAATATATTTATCAAAAAGAGGAGAAAGAATTTAAAAACTTGGAAACTGAACAAAGGAACAAACCCAAAGGATCTAAAAGGAATTAAATGCATAAGGGCAGAAATATAGAAAAAAAAAATATATGTATGTATATATAAACTTTGAATGCAGATGAAATGGACAACTTAAACAAGCAAAATAAATATCAAAATTGATATAAGAAGAAATATATAATTTAATATACAGTAACTTTTACATAAGTTCAAAAAATATACAATCTATTGCTTATCTCGTTTTTTGGGATTTTGTCCCCTATGACATGGACACAACGCTAAGCCAATAGCAGTAATTCTTTATTGTTGATACCCTACCCTACCTAAAATAAACAGTTTATCTCAAAAAATATTCAGTACACATTTATCTGTTGATGTCCAAGAATGCAGGGACTCAAGAATATTCATCCTGTCTTACTTCCTCTTACAGGTCTATCTCTTCTTCTCTTGGAGATGGAACCAAAATAGCCCAGTTATTTTCTGATATTTTCTACCAAATGATAAACTGACAAGTATCCAAAAATGAAAATAAAGTGTGAGCAACCATAGTATGTAGAAACTTTTTACTTGGGATTTTCTGATTGAAAACCATAGTAGGACTGGTTTCTTCTCCCTTCTTTTCTGAATATTTTTGAGACCTCATATGTATTTCACAGAAATATTCTTCCATGTATAATCTGTGATGTAATATTTAAGAAAGAGAAAGCCTATACAGTGGAACAGAATAAAGTGCTACCTTTTTTGGGAGGCAACTGGTTACCCATTTGCATACAGGGCTGAAGTTGCTTCTCTTCTTGCTGAGGGGTTTGGCCTCCATTTACTATTGAGTGCAAAACACAGTAATGTCAGCATGATGTAGACGCTACCCAGTACTCCTCTCTGGTTTAAAACTGCTTCAGAGAGAAACTTGTTCCATCACAGCAGTGCTCATTCATCTACATTATGTGCTCCCCTTGATGTTTATTTCACTTTTGTGATCATTTTGGTTGATTAAAAATATATGGAAGACCTGAAAACTACAGAAAACAAACAGATAACCCTGCCAATCCAGAATTCTAAATCCAATGATAATATTTCTCCAGAGTGAGAAATGAAAAGAATCCATTGCCAGTAGACCTCCCCTATAAGGAACATTAAAAGAAGCCCTTCAGGCAGGAGGAGATTTTTATAGGTCAGAAACTTGGCAGTACAAAAAGAAAGGAAGAATGTCAGAGAAGGAGCAAGCAAAGGTGAAATAAATTCTTTTTTCCTCCTGTATCTTTAATAGAGCTAAAAGATACTGTCTCATTAATACCACCAACTCAAGCAGATGCTAATTGTTCTTTATACTTCCACATGTCCCTGTCCATATCTTCAGTTTCCATGGATAGAGCAGTCACTTATGGCAGGAAGCTCAGCGGATAAATCAGGATGGAACAGTCTCCTATCAGGCAAACCTTTATAGTCAGAATTCAGCACCAATCTGTGCTAGTCAGTCTAGACCTCAGGATTTTATCATATCAGATTATATGATACCTAGTGCTCCAAAGATACCTAAGTCCTGAGATTGGGTTTGCAAAATATTTTTGAATGAGCAATTTGTCAACCATCATTATCACACATTGGAACCTCTTCTGGGGCCACTCTTTATTTCATAACACATATACATAAACACCACACACACAAACCACCCATACATATGCACCACATACATACATACAACATAAACACATGGTATAAACTCCCCTTATGTTCTCCACACATATACTGCACACATACATGCAAACCAAACATATAAACATGTTATAATACTACATCCTCAAAACGGAAGGACAAGCTACAAGCACCACACACACACACAAACGATGGACACATACACACCAGGCACACACAGTGTGCCACACACATTACAGACAGAGCACACCACAGCTATACAAGCATCACACATTGTACAAAACATACGACTCTTTCATTGTGTCCCTGTGACCCTCACACTGATTGCTAAAAATATGTTCTTTTTTCTTTCTCTTGTGAAATGCCTTAGAAGACAAGGCATATTCCACCCTTCCCCAAATTTTCCCCTATTGCTAAGTACTTTCAATCATATCTTTGCCAGGGAAGGCCCCCTTAATGGCCCTCTGGGGAGTTAACTGATTGCTTATTTAATGAGCCTCTTTTAAAAGTGAGACTAACCTGATTCAGCACAAAAAAGTGACTTCTTCTGTTGTCAAGACTTTTCTCTCAATTTTACATAGTGTCGACTTGCCAGTATTACCAAGTTTAGCCCCCATACATCATTCACCAATTCTTTTGACATCACTATGTCAAAGCTAAAAGCTAAATTTTTAACTTTACTTTTACCTTTTTCTTAAAGCTTCAGGGAAGGAGTGTGACTCAAAATCATCCAGTGGACTAGAAATCTGGGAATTTGCCAGCAATTTTATGGCATAATAAGCAGACACCCCTAGTCTCTCTCCCTGTCCAGGAGGTAGAGCTTGCCTGCCATACGTGCTCTCAAGATTTCTTTATTAAGGGTGGCTCTGGGTGTATAATGCTGTTCTAACGGGAATGTTGTGGCTTTCTAAATTCTCCATAAATGCCCTATTAAATTTTTACCTTTAATTCCTTTCCTTCTTGTCTCCCTCTTTTCCTTTCTCCCTCCTTTTTTTTTCTTTCTTTTCTTGCTTTCTTCTTTCTTTCTCTCTCTCTCTTTCTTTCTGTCTTCCCTCCCCTCCCCTCCCCTTCCCTTCCCTTCCTCCTTCTCCCTCCTTCCTTCCTTCCCCCTTCACCTCACCCTGTCCCCTCCACACTCCTCTCCAAAGGGCACATCTGTTCGACATTAAGCATACTCAGAAAGAGGTACATTTTACTGAGGCATGTCCTCTGGAAGGTGTGGCTTCTCTCATGGCTCTTCCTGCAATGACTGTAGGTGCTGGTTCAGCTACTTGGTTATAGCAAAATCCAGAAATATTTTTAAAAAATAGAGAGATAGGATCTCATTCTGTCACCCAGGCTGGAGTGCTATGATATGATTATAGCTCACTGGAGACTTGAACTCCGGAGCTCAAGGGATCCTTCCACTTCAGCCCCCTGAGTAGCTGGGATTACAGGTGTGCAACACTGTACCCAGCTAATTGGTAGAGACAGGGTCTGGCTGTGTTGCCGAGGTTGATTTCAAACTTCTTGCCTCAAGCAATCCTCATGCCTTGGCCTCCCAAATTGTTGGAACGACAGGAGTGAGATATCAGGCCTGGCCCTAATACTTTTAACTTAGAACTCTTTGAAATCAATCTGCTGATTAGTTAAAAAATTTAAGCCCTAAAATCAGTGATTTTGCATTATAGATAATTTGTTACCTACTTAACAAGTATTTTTTTTATTATGCTTTTAAAGTGCCCATTAAATGTTTGGCACCTAGCAGATGCTCTGTAAATTGAATCAGTTATTTTTTTTCCTCTAAAGAAATGTTGTAAATCTTTAACCCCTTTGCCCAGGAGACTTTGATGTTGTTATTCAGTGAGATTTTTATTATTTTTCACAAGTCCAGATTCTGCTCGTTCTCTTCTGTGTGCTACAGAATGTTTGTACTATTTATTTTGTATCATACTTGACAATTTCTGGAATTTTCTGAAAAAGGGTCCCTTTTGGTAATTGAAAGCCTTAGGTTAGCAGTTGTTTAATGTCGATGTGTTAAAAAAATAACACTCCCAATTGCCATCAATATCCCAGTTCTGGGTAGTGATTACCTAAAGGAAAACCATCTTTCTGTTTGCTGGCCGCAAAACTTTCTGCTGCTCTGTGAGATTCTTTGAAATTGTTTCTTCTGGATTCTGTGTTTTATGTATTGAGTTTTAAAATTTATCACCTTACAGAAATGTTTAAGCATACAAAAAATGTAGAACAGTTTAAGATAACCATGTACATGTTAACCCACTTCAAGAATTATCAGTATTTGGCTATTTGAGTTTCCACATTCAATGGTTGTTTTTTGTAGCATTTTAAAGTAAATTTCAGACATTATGTCATTTCTTCTATAAAACATTCAGCATGGCTATCTAATTCGTTAGGATTTTAAAAAATATAACTAACATGCTATCAGCCCATCTAGTAAATAAATAATAATCCCTTAACAGCATCTAATATCCAAACATTATGACAAATTTCCCAATTGCTTCAAAGTTGTGTCCTTTATATTTGCTTGATTTAAATGAAGATTAAAATAGGATCTACATAATGGCATTTAATTGTTAAGGCTCTCATGTCTCTTATTTTATAATGATCTCCTCTCCCAGTTTACATTTGCTATTACTTAAAAACAACAATTAAAAAAAAAAAAAAAAGGAGAGGTCCCTTGCAGAGTGTCTGTCATAATTGGTTTGGCTAATAGCTCTCTTTTTGGATCATTTGGATCATTTGATATGTTTTTTTATTTCCTTACATCCTGCAAACTGTGAGGTATATATAGAGGCTCGGTTAGATTCAGCACAAAAACACTTCTCAGGGATACTGGATGATACAGGGTACTATTGCACCCTGCTGGGAGGCACATAGTAGCAGTAGCAGGTTGTCTCACTTTTGGTGGTAGTAAGATTAATCAGTAGGTTCAGATATTCTTGGCCTGACTTATTCATTAATAAAGTTTTCATCATCTTTTCATCTATGGCTTTTAGATACAGTTAGTAAATGTTGCCTAGATCCGTCATTTGATTAGAAGTTATAAAATGATGATTTTCTAATTCTATCATGTCTCTTTCATTTACAAGCTAGAATTTTTTTATAAAAAAGGAAATTAACCTTATCATACATTTGGTAAGCTGGTAATACAGATTTAATAGGAAAGTTACCATAATTACTTGACAAAGTTCTAGAATAAGTGTCTTAGCAAGGATGACCAAGTACTATTATGACCTCATGAATTTTATTTGATGTGTTACAATCTATTGCAGTTCTTACTCCTTTTTGATGCTCCAGTTGTTCCTTCTTTAGCCAGTGGGCATCCCTTCAAGCTGGTTTCCATGTCATTATGATAGGACTTATGGTCTTGAATAGCTTCCTTGTCTTCCAATACATAAAAAACTTTCCAGCTTCCTCCTATATATTTTCTATTCTCAGATATGGGCTTTCTTAAGAAGCGCTGGCTCCTTTCAGCAGAAAATAACTTTTAGAGACCACACTCTGAGAACTAAGTGCTCATCGTTCCTGGGTCACATTGCTTTTAGACCTTTTCAATGGAATAACTTGAAAAACATATTTTTTGAAAAGAAATTATAATTTTTTTGCGTATATTTCGAATTTAAATTTAGGATTAGGGTTATTTTCAAATTTTTTTTGATTTTATAGTCTCACATATTTGTCTTTTGTTGAACATCATTGTTCCCAATGAACATACCTTTTTGCTTTCTTATAGCCTACCTATATTAACATGAAAATAATACTAATAGTATTGCCAAAATAACTGCTGCCTTCCCCAGAAACAGATCCTGAGATGAAGATTGATGTTAAAGTGATGTAATGGTATTTTTAGGAAAACAAACTAACAACAAAAATAGGAAGGAGCTTGGGAAGTGGGCAGGGAAAGAAAGGAGACCAAAGAAGGATACGATAACAAGCCAAGTCTGGAGGAAGGTAAATTTGTACTAATCCTACAAGAGAGCAGTGGGAACAGTGTAGGCCGCACCTCAGATTTGTCATGACCAAAGGCACAGAAGTTAGAGTATTTATATGCCAGTACCCATCAGTGGTTGTCTACAGGGTGTCAGGTTTTGAAGGGAAGGCAAGGGTTAAAGATGGAGAGAGAGAGAGAGAGAGAGAGAGAGAGAGAGAGAGGCTTAAGAGCAAATGAAGGCTTTATGCCTAGCAGTAGACCCACAGAGGTGGGAGACAAGCTTAATGCCAGGGCCTACTGCTGCTTACAGCCTGGGGCAGTTTATAGGCCTGTGCAGGAGGAGTCTGGTGGGGGGATAGCCTGCTGCCTGGGAAAATGCTGATTATGCATTCACAGGCGAAGTTGTTCTAGCTGTTGTTCCGGCTGAATGTGATGTTCCTTGCACTTTTGTACTTTCTCCCAGCAGGATATGATAAGAGGCAGGCTATTTCTTATGGCCCAAACCCCCCATGGAATGTCTCACTTTGACCAAGCTCTGAGAAATGGTGATGGGGTAGGCTTACAAAGTGGTGTTGTTTGGACTAACATTCTTGCTTTCTATTTTAATATAAAAGGAAAAGGGGGCATTGTTGATTATCTGGCTGCTTCCTGCTGAATAGGGGTGCTGTTATCGGGGTTGGGGTTTTGAAGTAGTGGGTGTCCAACTTCAGAGTTGTTTTCCTGGAGGCACTGTTATGGAACTTGGTGGAGGAGAAGAATGGCATCAGTGTGTTTCTGGGTGGTTGCCTGGACAAGGGAGTTCAGCCTTTGAGGGATAAAGCAGGATATGAAGGTGAGTACACATGGGCCAGTTGTTAGTATTTAGAGGAGGGAGATTAGGGGCCCTAAGAAATGGGTTACCCAAGGCATGCACTTTAGGAGGGATGGTCCCCGTTTCCAAGAGTTAGTAGCTTGATGTTGGATTTCTGCAGCCCTGTTACGGAGGCCATGGGCTCTGCGAACAATGCCAGATCAATTAACATAAAAAAAGCATTCTTCTTGGAGTTATACACATGTCCCCCTTTTCAATGGTTAGCAGGTCTAAGACCCTTTGGATTTGGAGAATGACCCCCTCAAGGGAGTCTTTCTGCCTTTGGAGCCTTGTGATGGAAGTATGCGTGTTTTCTACAGCATTATAGAGGACTGTAGATTTTTTTTAATATAGAGAAGTTGATACACTTGCTATTCCAGTGCCAAGTGCAGCAGAAATGCTTAATCCTACCACCAGAAGAATGAGATGTAGAGCCCATTTAGTACAGGTGGAGGAAGATGAGACAGAAGCTACCAAAGGAACCTGGATGGTCTTGTTGTTTGGCAAAATGCTAATGTTTGGAGATTAAAACCAGGGTGTATGTTCTTGACCAAATTGCCGGCAGGCAAAGATAAGTTTGTGCCACACAGAAAGAAAAGACCGGGGGTTTACAGGCAAAAGTTGTAAGTAAAGGTAGCGAGCTATGAGAAGATGGGGGTAGAATCCTGGACAAGCTTTTTGTTCCAACATTTTATTTCTCCAGGTTGAATAGATTTTAGCAACAGTAGCCCCTGCGAGGGTCTGGTAGGGAAAGTTGGTGGGGGAGGAGGTAAATGTTGTTTGGTTTTGGAGAGAGAGAGAAATGGGTTTTTCTTAACTAATAGCCACTGTAGTCCTGATAGGGCAGAAGGATATAGATTGCAGTTGAAGGAATTGTATGTGCATTTTTTCCAGGGAACATCCTTAGGTTGGATCATGGAAAGCTGTGCCAGCAGAGCAGGGAAGAGTTGGTAAGAGGTGTTTTATGGAAACGGGATTGTAACATGTTTAGTTTAGAGGTTATAAGGCAAAGGAGGCTGACAGCCCTGTGTATGATGATGTGGGTGGATTTGATGGGTTGGTGAGAAAGGTGTTTAGCTGAGAAAGATTATGAGCAGGTTTCAGGAATGGATTGGTCAAGTACGTAAGATGCAGGTTTATTTCAGACTAGGTTTATGTAGTTAGGTTAACAGAAAGGGCTGTGAACTGCTGGATTTGTGTGGACAAACAAATTGAACAGTTGGAAGAAAGAGGGGCTGTCTGTGAAGCTGACAACAGGCCCAACTGCCAGAGGTTGGGGGCAGGGACTTAAAGTATTCCACAGGCAAAGAAGACAAAAGGAGAAAAAGGAGATGTGAAAGCCTGAACTTTTAGAAGGCCCTACAGCCATAGCTCCTAGATGAATGTGAAGAACTGGAGTTGACTATTCAGGATGTGGGAGGGAATACCAGGAAGGATCAGAAACAAGATGTGAGATAAAAGATTTAAAATTTGAGATGGATAGTGTTATGGACTAGGGCCTCCTGGATTGGCAACTTCTGGAATTTTTGTTAAGTGCAGTGAAGTTGGTCCTGTGAGGGAGGAAGAATATTTTGGGGAAGAGGAAATTTCTGGATGTGGATCTGGTGTTCTTTTTAATTTGGAATGGTGTGTCCAGTATGGAAAGGATGTTAAGCTTTGCCGCCGTGGGAATAGCTAGGATAACTGCCCGAACACTTAGGTTGGAGAGGGGTGGAGGAGTCTGTGATCCAGACCCAGTCCCATGGTCATAGGGGCAGTGAAGAGTATTTTGAGAATGAACTTTGAGGCTGGGGCAAGTGAGTGTTAGCATACTGTCTTATTAGATGTGTGATATATATTGCCTCTAAAATGTGATGAGTTTTACACCTTTTTTTTTTTTTTTGCCAAGTTTTGTGATTTTTTTCTTAGTGGTAGGAGTTTCGAGATATAAGTTGTCCTTTACCTTGGAGATGATATTCTGGCATATTTGAGACTACTGGATCACTGAAAACTTCACTTATATGGCTAGTCACTGACACTTTGTAGACTTTCTCTCTCCCTCTTCCCCCACTTGGTAGTGTATGTATTTCTGCAGGGCATCCAGCGTCCTTGCTCCTTCTTGCTGTTCAACTTTAGTTAATATGACTACATGCTTATAGTGAAACAATGTGATGTTGCAGATAATCAAGATCCTTTCAGATTATGTTGTGAAAGAGGCTGGTGAGTTAACGTATTCCTTGACAAAACTGTGAAAAGAATACTGTTGTCTATCCCAAGTTAATGTAAACTACTTATAATCCTCCTTTCCAGTGGCTCTTCCAAAGAACACACTCGCCATATCAATACCTGTATAGGAAGTAACAGAGCCTCTGTTGATGTGTTCCATTTGGCACACCATATGCAATTAAGATTACCACTGGAGCCCATCTGTGGTGGTCCCCCGCTATCTGCCACAATCTATTTATTCTGGGGCCACGCTGGCGAGTCCAATGGGAATACAACAGAGATCATTGCTCTAGCATCTGCTAAGTCTTTACAAATGGCATTACTGTCTGCTGTTCCACCTGGGATGTGGTATTGCATCTGAATTACTAATTTGGCAGGATTGCACTGTTTTGAGCATTTTCTTCTTCTTTTTTTTTTTTAATTTTATTATTATTTTTTTTATAAGATGGGGTTTCACCATGTTGGTCCGGCTGGTCTTGAACTCCCGACCTCGGGTGATCCACTCGTCTTGGCCTCCAAAGTGCTTGGATTACAGGCATGAGCCACCATGCCCGGCCAAGCATTTTCATTTAAGCTTCAATGATATTAAATCCTGAGTCACAGCAGTGTGCCCTCATATTAACAAGCTCTCCCTTATCTGGACTTATTTTCTGCCCCCAAAACCCTGGTCCCATATTCTAGTCATGCTCTCCTTGTCCCTTCCACTTTAGCAGGGCCAGCGCTACACCATTTGGACCATCCTAAGACCTGACCTAACTATTTGTCAAGTATTTAGGTTTACTATTTGTTAAGGTATTAGATAAAGTGAGGATAAAATTTGACTATGCAGATCAGGCACGGTGGTTCATGCCTGTAATTCCAACACTTTGGGAGGCCAAGGCGGGTGGATCATGAGGTCAAGAGATTGATGCAATCCTGGCCAACATGGTGAAACCTGTCTCTACTAAAAATATAAAAATTAGCTAGGCATGGTGGCCCACACCTGTATTCCTAGCTACTCAGGAGGCCAAGGCAGGAGAGTTGCTTGAACCCAGGAGGAAGAGGTTGCAGTGAGCTGAGATCATTCCACTGCAATCCAGCCTGGCAACAGAGCAAGACTCTGTCTCAAAAAAAAAAAAGAATTTGTCTAAGCAAGTATTGTAAGTCGTCTGTATCAGCTGTGTTTTCTGCATAGGGATCTTCAGGAAAAGGGATGATGCCATCCCCCAGGATGGAGTACTGGGATAAGGATACCAAGAAGTTTTAGGGTAAATTTCAGGCCTTGACTTTAGCATGAGACTTCTAGGACTTGACTTTTAAGTCAAGTGTTTGTCTTTGTTTTTTCTGCTACTCTGATAATCAGATCCTGAGTCTGATCTTCAGAACATGTCTGCGTTTTGCTGTTGGAGATCAGGATATCTTTAAATGCTGCCAGGGAGATTTTCTGACTTTCATACCATATTCTGATGTTAATTGGCCTTCTTGAGTACATCAGTGGTCATGACCACCATCAAACAGCCAACTTCAAAGTTGTTCTAATGCCATTTTGACACATTTCTCAAATACTAGAGGTATTGCCCAGGCCAGTGCCTTCCCTTACACCTGTACCCTATCTTTCATTCCAATGTACCACAGGAGAGAGTCAGTAATTGTAATACTACAGCAGGCCCAGGTTATTACCAATGCTTTTAAAAACATCAAGGGGGTCCCTGGGCCATTTTGCTTGTCAGTGTTACAATTCTGGAAGATATTCTAAGAATCTGCATCCTAGGTCTTCTTGTGGAAACAACTGGCTTTTGTCAGATTCTTTAGAAGCAGACCTTGAGATGAGGATTCCTGTAAAAATGATTTATTAGGATATATTTCCAGAAAAACCTGGCTGGGGAAAGCATAAGTAGATCTGGAAAGGATATAAAGTAAGGTCCAGTTCAATTCTTAGGGGATTTTGGAGATAGTGTGGACCTTGCTTGCCAAGCAGAAGCAAAGGAGTTAGATCATTTATATCTGTGTAGTAATGACATGGCTAAGGGCTATTCTCAGGCAGATACAAATTCCCAGGCACGCCCAGTTGGCAGGCAAAATGGCTCCTGCAGTCTGAGGGAGCCCACTAACAGAAAAAATAGGTTCCAGGTGTTGGGAACAAAAGAAACCTCAGCAGGAGCTGGTACGTAGCAAAATGGTAAAAGGAACTGAGGGGATATGGGTGGAATATTGAGTGTGTGCTATAATAACTGAATCCAACTGAGTATTTTTAAATTTTGATGGGAAAGAACCTCTAGACTGATTTATTTCTGCACTTCTGCACATATACTGAACATATAGTTAATGTGGGGATTGTCTAGGTTGAACCCAGCTGTTTTCATCTCTAATATTCAATAACATCTATACATGCCTGGTGTATGGAGAAGTCCAGTAGAATAGGAGTCACTAGGAACTTCTTCATTAGTGACTAGAGAGTCCCTGGGAGTTAGGAAAATCCCTAAGAAAGTTACCCGAAGGAATAATGAAGGCAGATACACAATTTCACTATTAACGATCTAGTAACAATGGTACAGTAAATAGAAAATGGAAGAGTAAAAGTGAGTGTATGGTTCAGACCTTAGGATCTCATGGAAGAGAGAGGCCGGTGGGTAAGAACTAAAGGAGTGGCTTTACCAAAAACCTCTCCAAGACATTATAGACAAAGCAGTTCTGCTTGGAAACTCATGCAGGAAACTGAAGAGAGAAAATTGGAAGATGCCAGTGCTTCAATTTAGTTCACCAGATATTCATTAAATACTGACACTGAAGGCTCAGAGAAGCACAGCTCAGCCCAGGAACATCAGGATTTCAGCTGATTGACAAGGTTAAAGATCTTTCATTTGCGTGGACCATTTCCAAGGTCCTGGTGGGGAAGAGGGCACTACTGATGTGTTTACATAGTCTCATATTTTTGAAAATTTCCAGAAGTAAGGTATTTTAACCACAATTGTTTAAAGTTAGTGTCTCCATCCTATTGGATACTATGTTGACGGAATGGTTCTTGGAATTTCTTGATAATGGTGAAGGGAAAGCTGCAGTGGGAATGTAATTCATTTGGACTAAAATTTGGGATACATTTATGTGGTTTATTATTATTATTGCTAGCTACCTTGGCATAGGAACAACTTCCTGGAATACTTAAATCATCCACTGTGCCTGTGTAATGGGATATCCAAATAATGGAAAAGAGTAAATCAAGTGAACATATTGGAACTGGTTTTAAATTTTGTATTGACTTTACACACAATCTTGACATTGCAATGATAACACAAAACTCGTAAAAATAAGTCCTTTGTTAGGATTCCCCAAAATATTTGAGCTTCATTGGAGGCTGAAGATTTGACAGAAGCAAACTGTGACTCGAGTCACATAAAGACAATTTTTCCCCCTCTAAATGTGAATCATTCCCCCATCCCTGTCCAAGGTTGGTATTGACTGGGGAAACAAAGGTTTCACAATACATGTCATTGTTTTTGAATATCACCTAAAATTTTCCTGTCTTAATAAAATAGCTCACAAGTTTTACCTTTAAACAGTTTACTCTCAGTATCATGTGGATTTTACCTATTTAAAAATTCACATTAAAAATGAGTAGATGAAAGATGTTGTACTAGAAGCTGTGTATACGCCCAGTAGAGAAAAGAACAAGGAGAAATCCATACTAAGTTGGTACATCTCTGGTCATATGTGTACTCAAGCAGGGAGGCCAGGTAACTGGATCTTTAATGAAAGAAACTGGTCACTTCTTGACAAACATCCCAAAATGGAGAAACTGAAATGTGATGAAGGTGAGCACATATGAAGAGCAGAAGGGGAACGCTCCCTTGCCCTTGGTTAGAACAACAATGAGATGAGTGTACCTATGTAACAATCCTGCAAGATCTGCACATGTACCCCAGAACTTAAAGCACAATTTAAAAAAATGAGGTGAGACCCACACTTTGAGAGAACATTCTCAAGATGTCGAGTCAGACCTTAATGGCTGACCCTGAAGTGCCCTCCTTCCTTCAGGATTCTACACTCCGATGGCGTGGCGAAATACCAGCTTATGAAATATGCATCCCTTTCTGCTATATTCTCATTACCTTTACCAAATTTTGTGAAAATATTTCTCTTACTTTCTCTACCCTCTCATTCCCCTTCACTCACCAACAAACTGCAAACTTACCTATACACTCATTTATCTGCTAAATGTACCATGAAAAAGCCACCAGGAATTCCTAATCACAGGTGACTAAGTTCCTTTTCTGACCTCATCTCCTTGAACTTTTTTACTACACTTGTTATTGCTGATCAGTTGCCTTTCTTAAAAGGCCATGTTGGCTGGGCACGATGGCTCACAACTGTAATCCCAGCACTTTGGGAGGCTGAGACAGGTGGATCATGAGGTCAGGAGTTCAAGACTAGCCTGACCAATATGGTGAAACCCCATCTCTACTAAAAATACAAAAAGTAGCCTAGCATGGTGGTGCATACCTATAATCCCAGCTACTTGAGAGGCCGGGGCAGGAGAACTTCTTGAACCTAGGAGGTGGAAGTTGCAATCAGCTGAGAATGCACCATTGCACTCCAGCCTAGGCAACAGAAAGAGACTCCATCTAAAAAAAAAAAAAAAAAAAAAAAAAGGCATGTCCAGGAGTTTTCAATGAGAATTGAACTCTCCTGTTATTTTTCACACTTACATACCTGATTCTTTCATCTCTGATATTTGTGGACATTTGTTTTTTTTGCCCCTCCTTGGATGTTGGCATTCTGTCTTAGCTTGGCTTGTGCTTTTCCATTCACAGGCTCTTCTTGAGCCATTTGGTCTAAACTCAGGTCTTCAATACTGAAGATATGCATTTTCTCCTATATCTTTTTCTCCAGTTCACTCTCTTTCTGTAAGTTTCAGATTAATGATCTGGCCACTTGTTGAGCTTGCTGTATAGCTTCAATTATGTTCCCTCAAAATATGTTGAAGTCCTAATCCTCAGTGTCTGTGAATGTGACTGTATTTGAAAATAGGGTCTTCATATGGAACCAAAAGAGAGCCCACATAGCCAAGTCAATTCTAAGCAAAAAGAACAAAGCGGGAGGCATCACACTACCGGACTTCAAACTATGCTGCAAGGCTACGGTAATCAAAACAGCATGGTACTGGTACCAAAACAGAGATATAGACCAATGGAACAGAACAGATGTCTCGGAGGCAACACAACATATCTACAACCATCTGATCTTTGACAAACCAGACAAAAATAAGCAATGGGGAAAGGATTCCCTGTTTAATAAATGGTGTTGGGAAAACTGGCTAGCTATGTGCAGAAAGCAGAAACTGGACCCCTTCCTGACACCTTACACTAAAATTAACTCCAGATGGATTAAAGACTTAAACATAAGACCTAACACCATAAAAACCCTAGAAGAAAATCTAGGCAAAACCATTCAGGACATAGGCGTAGGCAAGGACTTCATGACCAAAACACCAAAAGCATTGACAACAAAAGCCAAAATAGATGAATGGGACCTAATCAAACTCCATAGCTTCTGCACAGCAAAAGAAACAGTCATTAGAGTGAATCGGCAACCAACAGAATGGGAAAAAATTTTTGCTGTTTACCCATCTGACAAAGGGCTGATATCCAGAATTTACAAAGAACCAAAACAGATTTACAAGAAAAAAACTAACAAGCCCATTCAAAAGTGAGCAAAGGATATGAACAGATACTTTACAAAAGAAGACATTCATGAGGCCAACAAACGTGAAAAAATGCTCATCACTGGTCATCAGAGAAATGCAAATCAAAACTACATTGAAATGCCATCTCACGCCAGTTAGAATGGCAATCATTAAAAAATCTGGAGACAACAGATGCTGGAGAGGATGTGGAGAAATAGGAACACTTTTACACTGTTGGTGGGAGTGTAAATTAGTTCAACCATTGTGGAAGACAGTGTGGCAATTCCTCAAGGACCTAGAAATAGAACTTCCATTTGACCCAGCAATCCCATTACTGGGTATATATCCAAAGGATTATAAATCGTTCTACTATAAGGACACATGCACACGAATGTTCACTGCAGCACTGTTTACAATAGCAAAGACCTGGAACCAACCCAAAGGCCCATTGATGATAGACTGGACAAGGAAAATGTGGCACATATACACCATGGAATATTATGCAGCCATCAAAAATGATGAGTTTGTGTCCTTTGTAGGGACATGGATGAACCTGGAAACCATCATTCTCAGCAAACTGACAGAAGAGCAGATCATCAAACACCGCCTGTTCTCACTCATAGGCGGGTGTTGAACAATGAGAACACATGGACACAGGGAGGGGAGCACCACACACTGGGGTCAGTTGGGGGGAAATAAGGGAGGGACGGTGGGGTGTGGGGAGCTGGGGAGAGATAGCAAAGGGAGAGATGCCAGATGTAGGTGATGGGGAGGAAGGCAGCAAATCACACTGCCACATGTGTACCTATGCAACAATCTTGCATGTTCTTCACATGTACCCTAAAACCTAAAATGCAATAAAATAAATAAATGGGAAGAAAAAAGAAAATAGGGTCTTTGCAGATGATCAAGTTAAGATGACGTCACTAGAACAGACCTTGATGTAATGTGACTGATGTACTTATACAAACAGGACATTTGGATACAGAGACAGATGTGTACAGAGAAGAGATGATGTGAGGACTCAGGGAGAAGGCCAACTACAAGCCAAAAAGTGTTTGAGGCTACCAGAAGCTGAAAGAATAAAAAAAGACATAGAACAGATTCATCTTCAAAGTTCTTAAAAGGAACCAGCCCTGCCAACACCTTGATTTTGAACTTCTAGAGATTTAAGATAATAAATTACTTTGTTTGAGCAACTTAGTTGGTGGCACGTTGTTAGAGCAACCCCAGGAAGCTAATACACATGCTCACGTGATTATCCCACTATTACCACTAAGTCAACATGTCCCAAAGTCAAATCATGATCTACCCCCTGAAAAGGGCTCATTTTGCTACATTCCCTGGCTTAGTTCTTCAGACCACTCTCTATTCATTCTCTCAGGTTAGAGACCCAGGACTCCTTGACATCTTTCTTCTCCTGCATCCATCTAGTCAAATATCATGATCTTCCAGTTCTGTCTTATGACATTTTTTATGTCTCTCTTCTTGTCTTCATCTCAGCTTTTTCTGCCCTCACCACTGCTGTGTAGGCCACTGCACAGATGGTCGTTTAACTAGTCTTCTTGATTCTCAAATTAGGTCAGAGTGTTCTATCTAGATAGAAAATCTGCCCATGTCAGTATTGCAATGATGCCTGTCATATTGCTTGTAAGTTACACCTTGAGCTCCAGTGTAGAAAATCTTACCATAATACTATTCACTCAACATATAGCTTGGGAATTACTTACTGAAGGAGATCTCCTCTGTGTTCTTCAGCTTGGAATCAAAACTCATCTGGTCTTTCATGATGCCCTACATGTGTACCTAAAACAGTATACTGCTATCAATTATTGTGTCTGTCCTTCACATTAGAATGGAGAAGAATGACTGTGCCTCCTTTACCCCAATGTCCCAAGATTACAGATTCTGGAAAATAACAAGATCTCAGTAATTAATGTGTTTATTCAAGCTTAGCCCTCTAAATGCTTGTCCTGATTTTTCACTCAGAACTATTTTCTATCACATTGCCTCCATGTGAAATGACTCAATGGCTCTAATCTTTATTCTGCATGGTAGAAATCAGAACAGTGGTCAACCCAGAACAACCCAGTTCCTGAACTCACTAACACCCACAAATCATCATTTTACAAAAATACAAATTCATTCATATTTGAACTAAGTGATTGAACCACTGAATTATTTGGATCTCAGAAGAAGAAGAATGACAGACTTACACTGGGTAATTTGTGGACAGTGTTGAAAATCACAATTTACACAGGAGTAGGCAGGTGGTAGGGAAACCACAAGAGATTCTGGAGAACCCCACAGCTTGAAAAATAAATGCAAATAAAAATGGCTGAAGGGACAGAGAAGAGAGAAGTTACTGTAACATGTGGAAAGGGCTGCCTTTCAGGAGCTATGAACTGTAATAGAAAGCCACCTGCAGACCCCAAAGGAGACACTGTCAGAGATAAATACTCCCTAACCCTACCTATCTCCCTCAGAAATCTAGCAGAAGCCAATTGACAAGGGAGTACAGGATGCAATCCATATGGGTCAGCGTCTGGGGCCTGACCAGGATGGAAATAAATGGAGACCATACAGAGAAGAACGCATGGACGATATACAACCCAATAAATAGAAATTAATGTTAATTTTCACAAACAAGAAATGTCATTGCTTTAGTGAGGTTGCTACCCTGGATTAAAACTTTTAAAACATTGGTTCTTGTATCCAGAAATAGAATCTAACATACTGGATCCCATAAAGGAAGCCCTGTTAATTCATTATTTATTCTATGAAGATGACAGCTGTGTTCTTAGTTATTTTATTTGAATTTTTATTCATCTATTTCTCTTAGAAAAAGAAGTCTGAATAAAAGAAGGAACTGATCTCATATTTGAAAGGAGCCACAGGAAACAAAATTCTTTTCACTGGTATTTTCATCGCTGAAGCCTTCTATTTTATGAAATACTATGCCTAATGACTTTTCCATCCAAGGTGGGATAACTGAGAAAGGAAAATGACATAGAATTAAAAACTTCAAATAGTGCTTCTATGGCTATAACCACACATGAAATCATTATGCTTTACCTTCATAAACGAGTCAGTTTCCTCTCTTTAGCCCAGTCTTGGACATCTGCTTCTCCAAATATGAAGTAGAAGATTACTCCTGCCAGGTTAATGGCAAACAGCAAGAAGAAGACATTCCTCCACCCAAACTCAGGGTCCTGGAGACACAAAACTCCAAGTGTAAATTGTCCCCTTCATACTTTTCTATGAAACATTATATTAATAGTTCAGATGACAACATTCACTGGTGGGTTTCCATGTAGAAATTCATCTCCTGAAAGTGGCTCGGTAGTTAAGTGGAAATACATTCAGAATGTTTTTAATAAAGGGAATTTTGGGAATTTTGTGATTAACCTACAGAAATGCATTTGTCACTATTGATCCAAGTGCCATACATTTTCTCTTTTGCATGAATCTCGATTACATAAGCTATGCTGAGAATACTTTCAAGATTCTTATTACGTTGTGCTGGTGTTGTGAAAAGATTATGGTCTTTTGAGCTATGTTTAAGTTTGAAGAATTCTGATTGTTCATGCTCATAATGGAAAGACTTATGCTAACAGATTTTCAGTTTAATTTTTAGAAAATGAAAATAATATTCCATTTTTACAACTGGTGTGAGAATCAATAGTTAAATGAGTTTACTGCATATGAAATACCTATGCATACATCACACACTTAATGTTTACTTTCATTATCTTCTTTTTGGCATGATGATGCAAATGAAAATTTTTAAATGTATAGTTATTTACAATTTTCTAGAAATTTTGGGTTTTTCAAATCAATTAAATTTTAAAAGGAACTATTTTATCACTATTTGAAATAGATAACCAGAGAATTACTTGCCTTCAATAAAAAGCAACCATAATGAATGCAATGAAAGCAAAACACTGTTATTAAATTATAGTGAAAAGAAAACAATATTCATAGCAGCCTTATTGATAATAGCCAAAAACTGGAAACAACTCAAATGTTCATAAAAGTATAATAGATAAATTGTGATGTAGCCACAAAATGAGAAACTACGCAGCAGTGGAAAAGAATAAACTATTATATAACATCCAATGGATGAATCTCAAACACACAATGGATGAAATAAGCTAGGGTATGTGCTATATGATTCCATTTCTATGAAAGGCAAGAATGGGAAAATCTAATCTATGAAAACAGAAGTCAAGGTAAAAGTTACAACTAGAAGGGCTACTGATTGGAAAGGAGCATAAAAGAACCATCTGGATGATGGAAATATTCTTTTATTTTCTTCTTCTTTTTTTTTTGGAGACACAGTTTTGCTCTTGTTGCCCAGGCAATAGTGCAATCTCTGCTTACCGCAACCTCTGCCTCCTGGGTTCAAGCAATTCTCCTGCCTCAGCCTCCCGAGTAGCTGGGATTACAAGCATGCGCCACCACGCCTGGCTATTTTTGTATTTTTAGTAGAGACCGGGTTTCTCCATGTTGGTCAGGCTGGTCTCAAACTCCCAACCTCAGGTGATCCACCCGCCTTGGCCTCCCAAAGTGTTGAGATTACAGGTGTGAGCCACTGCACCCTGCTGGAAATATTCGTTTCTAAAAAAACCTTTTAGGTTCAGAGGCACATGTGCAGATGTGTTACATAGGTAAACTCATGTAATAGGGGTTTGTCAGTACGCAGGTACTAAGCCTAGTCCCCAATAATATTTTTTCTGACCCTTTTCCTTCTCCTACCCTTCACCCTCAAGTAGGATTCAGTGTCCGTTGATCCCCTCCTTGCGTCCATGAATTCTCATCCTTTAGCTTCTACTTATAAGTAAGATCATGTGGTATTTGGATTTCTGTTCTTGTGTTAGTTTGCTAAGGATAATAGCCTCTAGCTCCATCCATTTTCCTGCAAAAGATATTTCATTCTGCATAATATTCCATGGTGCATGTGTACTATATTTTCTTTATCCAGTCTGTCATTGATGGGTATTTAGGTTGATTCCATGTCTTTTCCATTGTGAATAGTGCTGCAAAGAACATATGTGTTCATGTGTCTTTATAGTAGAATAATTTACATTCTTTGGGGTATATACCCACTAATGGGATTGCTGGATGAAATGGAAGATCTGTTTTTAGCTCTTTGAGGAATTGCCACACTGCTTTCCACAATGGTTGAACTAATTTACACTCCCACCAACCGTGTATAAGCATTCCCTTTTCTCTGTAACCTCTCCAGCATCTGCTATTTTTTGCTTTTCAATAATAGACATTCTGACTGGTGTGAAATTATCTCATTGCAGTTTTGATTTGAATTTCTCTAATCATCAGTAATATTAAGATTTTTTCATACATTTGTTGGTTGCATATATGGCTATTTTTTAAATTGTTTAAATTTAATTTTATTATTTTTTAATGTTGTTATTTCCATAGATTTTTGGGGAACAGGTGATATTTGGTTACCTGAGTAATTTCTTTAGTGGTGATTTGTGAGATTTTCGTTCACCCATCACCCAAGCAGTATACACTGAATCTGATTTATAGTCTTTTGTCCCTCACCCCCTTCCCACAACTTCCCCCGAGTCCCCAAAGTTCATTATGTCACTCTTGTGCCTTTGCATCCTCATAGTTTAGTTCCCACTTATGAGTGAGAATGTATGATGTTTGGTTTTCCATTCCTGGGTTACTTCACCTAGAATAATAGTCTCCAATTCCATCCAGATTGCTGTGAATGCCATTAATTCGTTCCTTTGTGAGTAGTATTCCATCACATGTATATATATACACCACAGTTTCTTTATCCACCCCACCCATTGATTGATGGATGTTTGGGTTGGTTACACATTTTTGCATTTGCAGATTGTACTGCTATAAACATGTGTGTGCAAATATCTTTTTCGTACAATGACTTATTTTCTCTGGGTAGATACCCAGTAGTGGGATGGCTGAATCAAATGGTAGTTCTACTTTTCGTTATTTAAAGACTCTCTACACTGTTTTCCCTGGTGGTTGTACTACTTTACATTCCGGCCAGCAGTGTAGAAGTGTTCCCTGTTTAACACATCCATGCCAACATCTATTATTTTTTGATTTTTCGATTATGGTCAACCTTGCAGGAGTAAGGTGGTATTGTATTGTGGTTTTGATTAGCATTTCCCTCATCATTAGTGATGTTGAGCATTTTTTCATGTTTGTTGGACATTTAGTGAGGAAAGGATGTCCTGTTCAACAAATGGGGCTGGGATAATTGGCAAGCCACATGTAGGAGAATGAAACTGGATTCTCATCTGTCATCTAATACGAAAATCAACCCAAGGTGGATCAAGGACTTAAATCTAAGAGCTGAAACTATAAAAATTCTAGAAAATAACATTGGAAAAAAACTTCTAGACATTGGCTTCGCAAGGATTTCATGACCAAGAACCCAAAAGCAAATGCAATAAAACAAAGATAAATAGCTAGGACTTAATTAAACTAAAGAGCTTTTGCACAGCAAAGGGAACAGTCATCAGAGTAAACAGACAACCCACAGAGTTGGGGAAGATCTTCACAATCTATACATCTGGCAAAGGACCAACATCCAGAACCTATGATGAACTCAAATAAATTAGCAAGACAAAAATAAACAGTCCCCATCAGAAAGTGAGCTATGGACATGAATAGACAATTCTCAAAAGAAGAACATTTATGTCTTCTCTTGAAAACAATCTGTTCATGTTCTTTGCCCACTCTTTAAAAGGTTTGTTTTTTTCTTGTAAATTTAAGTTCCTTAGAGATGCTGGATACAAATTCAAAATATTGCCAAAAACATAGCAGGTTGGCATTTATGCATGTAATCATTATCCCAAGATACCTATGCATCAGTTTCAAAGATGGCAATCACTATTTAGTTCTTTGCTTCAGAATGAACCAGGCTTTAGCTCACCAAAGAAATTATTCTGTATTTTTCTTTATCAGGTCCATCTTCATGACAAAGTTACCCACAATTTAAATTTATTTTTCAATCTTTGAATACATGCTATCACCTTTATACATGGATTTAGCAGAGCATTTTTGGAGTCCTTCATGACAAGAAAATTGTACCTGACTAAGAAGAAATCCACTGACAGTGGGTGCAATGACAGGTGCCATGCCTGAAAATGCCCTTGATGCTCCCATGAGAAAACTGGAATGCCTGTGGATGACAGGAATGTTCCAATCTAGAACCAGAGATGTTTAACAGTACTTCCTTCAGCCCTGATCCATATATGAATCTATAACTCAATTATAGTTTATAATTCTATATAATTATACAATTATAGCAAAAAGGACTTTCATTATATATATTCAAAGAGAGAGATGAAGACAAATCAATAGCCCTCCCTCAACATCTCTGCAAAAAATGGCCACTGGTGTATCTGTGGTCCTTCCCTATGGTTTATTCATTTCCTAAGTTTGGAGATTCTGGAAAGCTGAAACCTAAATATTTTTAAGAAAATGTGAAACTGATAGTGAAGATCAGAGTCCTACCTTGGAGCAATATCTAAGGCATTGACATAAATCCCTGACTGACACAATGTACTTAATCCACATGAGAGCATCAGAAAGGCAGTTGCTGTGACGTAGCTGGAACTGAGGTAGGGCAGAGACACAATGAGTACTGAAGAGGGGAGATTTCCTAGGGAATGAAGAACAAACATTAAACAGCGAGAAGCCTTCTTTGGCTGTTGTATACTTTGCGAATTATCTGACCCTCAGGCTCTGTTCTTACCTAAAATTGTGGCAAGTTTCCTCACAGTTATGAGTCTAAAATTCTTGGTTAGGAGGAAATCTGCCAGATAGCCTCCCACCACACCCGTGATGTAGGCAAAAATAAAAGGAAGGGCAGATAGGAGTCCGTTCTAAAGAGAAAATATTGAGTAAATTACCATGATAAAGGCAGTGAGACCACAACTTCTATTGATAAATCACTACTAAACATACTGACATTCTGAAATCACACTTTCTTAAAAAAATCAGTAACATCTTAAATCATACCACCAGAAAAGCCACTGGCATCAGTGTTAAATATTAGATTATTTTTGGTAATAAGAAATATATTTCTCTAGATGGAATGATTTGTGAAGGCAGAGTAATTGATAAGCCATGCAAACAGGAGAAAGGGAGGGAAGAAAACATACTCACATCTCTGATGTTAACATGGTACACAGAGCTGATGTAAGTTGGTATGTATACAGTCAATGTGTTAACTAACCACTGATGGCTGAAAGAGCATAAACATATGGACCAAATGGGTAGAGATCTGAGCATAGCTTTGATGGGAAGAGGCTGTTTAGAAGACCTGACCTGAAAACAAATTTACTGGTCAGCACAGTAAGATCTGAGAGATGCTCACACACACTTAGTCACTCTTAAAAATCCAGATTTAAGGTCACAGGAAAAAATCCAAATACAAGGCCTCAGGAAATTGTTGGCATCTTTATATGTACCTGTTGTTTCAAGGAGGATATGATGTATTCTTTTTCTGAGATGCTTATCCATGGGTGGGAAACAGGGTCATCATAAATCACAACAAACCAGATAAGGCAGTAGACAAAGCCAACACCTCCTGCAAGCACAGGGTAAATTTGGTAAATGGGCTGTTTTCTGCCTTTTGGGTGGATTTCTTTTATTTTGGGATGTTTTCTGGTATTAGTTCTAGGAAAAGCTCATGCTGATTATATCCCTTTTCCCTTTCTTAAACAATTCACCCATTTTACATTTCCTGTTTATTTGTGTGTGTGTAAATCACGGAGCCTAAAAGTGACATCACATTTGATATCTCAATATTTTTAGTATTAGCCATTCTGATAAATGTGTGGAGATGTCTCATGATTTTTATTTGTATTTCTTAAATAACTAAGGATGAGTTATCATTACATCATTTCATGTGCCTGTTTTCCCTCTCTCTCTTTTTGGTGAAGTGTCTTTGCCCATTTTTAAATTTTTTGGTATTATTGAGCTTTGAGAATTATTTACAAATTCTGAATAAAAGTCCTTATAATATATGTGTTTTGCCAGTATTTTCTCTCTGGGATCAACTTGTCTTTTTATTATCCTAACTATGCCTTTTGATGAGGATACATTTTTAACTTTGATGAAATCCTAATTTATCAATTTATTTTATGAATCATGCTTTTGGTGTCATATTTAGGATATCTTTGCTTAAATAATAAAGATTATCTCCTACATTTTTTCCTAGAAGGATAATAGTTTCAAGTTTTATATTTAGGTCTGGGATTCATTTTGGTATAGTTTTTATGTATGATACAAGGTATGGATGGAAGTTCATTTTTTTTTTTTTTACATCTGAATATCCAACTTTTGAGCATCTTCTGTTAAAGAGGTTATCCTTTCTCTAGCTACTGAATTTTTCTCAAAGGTCAGTTTAGTTTACTTTATATGAAGTAAATAGAACCATGAGTTTTTGATTCTATTTTGTTCTATTGATGCATTTGCTTATAACTTTACAGTATGTCTTGACATCAGGTAGTGTTAGTCCTACAACTTTGTAATTTGTTTTCAAAGGTGTTTGGCTATTCTAGAATCTTTGTATTTCTATAAAAATTCAGTTTTCAGTACCCAGGCCTCACATATCTTTTGGCAGATTTATCCCTATGTTGCATGTTTTTATGCTATTGAAAATGGTACTGTTCTCTTTAATTGACATTTCTAATTATTTCAGCTTTTGTATGTTCTAAAAACATCTTTATTTTGCATTTGTTTTTGAAACAGTTTTTTTTTCACTGTGCCTAGAATTCTAGGTTGACAGTTTTTTGTTTTTTTCTTGCACTATTTTAAAGATACTGTTTCACTGCTTCTCTCTTGCACTACTTCTGATAGGAATGCTGCGTTCAGCATTATCTTTGTTCCTCTCTCTGTAATACATTTTTTAGGTTTGGCTACTTTAAGATTTTCTCTTTATTTCTGGTTTTGAGCCATTTATTTAGAATGTAATTTGATGTAGTTTTCTTCATGTTTCTTGTGTTTGAGGTTCATTGAATTTTTTGGATCTGTAAATTTATAGTTTTCATCTGATTTGGAAAACTTTTGGCAATTGATTCTTCAAATATTTTTGAAGAAATGTTGTTGTTGTTCTCCCATCCTACTCCTCTATTTTAGGCACTCCACAACTTACTGATGTTCTCTTATTAATGCTTTATTTTTCTCTGTGTGGTGCACTTTGGATGATTTCTGTTGTTGTTTTTAAGTTCATTAATCTGTAATTGTATCTAAATTGTCATTAACTCCATTCAGTGCATTTTTCATCTCACATATTATACTTTTCATCTCTGTAAGTTTTATTGGGTCTTCTTTATATTTACTATGTCTCCACTTAACTTACTTAACATATAGATTTATGCTATAATGTAGTTACAGTAACTATTTTAATGCCCTTGTTTGCTAATTCTAAAATCTCTGTCAACTCTGGGTTGGTTTTGTTCAATTCATTATTCATTATAAGTTGTATTTTTCTCCTTTTCTTCATGTCTAATAATCTATGGTTGTAGCCAAACATTATGAATCATGTCCAGCAGGGTGCCAGATAGTTTTGTATTTCTGTAAATATTTTTAAGTTTTGTTTTGGGATATGATTAAATTATGTAGAAATAGTTTGCCCCTTTTAGGTCTTGCCATCACCATTTGCTAGAGAGATCCACAGCAGTACTCCCTCTAAGGTTAATAATTTCGCACTACTGAAGAACAACGTTTATGAATATTCCATCCAATGACCCATGAATTATGACTTTTTCAGTCTGTCTTATGAAAACAGGTACTATCTCTGATTCTCTGTGAGTACGGGCACCGTCCTCAGTCTTTCACCAATGATTTCCCTTGCCTAGCCTCCAACAGTTTCTTCACACATATAACCTGATCAGTACTCTGCTGAGGACTGCAGATTAGCCGGGTTTTCTCTGCATGCAGCTGTCCCCTCATACGTACTCTAGCCTTTGAACTCTAACTGTCTTATTCTTTCCAGAGTCTTAGCTCTGTCTCTCCAACTCCAGAGTTTGCGCTAGGCTTTGCCTAAGTGCCGTCTTCTGTGCCATGCTGTAGAGCTCACTTCTCACTGATCATTGTTTTTCATCGTCTGATAGCCAGTGTCTTGACAACCATTGTTTCCAGAAAACAAAAAAGTCTGTTTTTGTTTTATTTCCAATTCCTTCATTCCAGAAAGTTTATCTAGAGTTTCCTGTTAGGTGAATGTGGACATTCAATACACTTTTATGCTTGCTGCAGGCCTCATGAAGTCCCTGAATTACATTGAATTTTGAATGCTGACCATGCCTTGTATTCTGAATGTACATTCTTCTAGTCATGATACATTTTGTTTTTAAAATATTGATGGGTTCAATTTGCTAATATTTTTTAGGATATGTGTGTTTAGATTCATGAGAGATATTGGTCTGTAGTTTTCCTTTTTTGTAATATCTCTATTTGGTTTTGATATCAAGATAATTCTAACCTTATAACAGGAGCCGTGAAGTATTTTCTCTTTTTCTATTTTCAGAAATAATTTGTGTAAAACTGGTATCATTCCTTATTTATCCATTTGGTAAAATTTTCCAGTGAAATCATGTAGTTCTCAGGGTTTTCCTCATTGGAAAACTTGAAGCTAAAAAAAACCAGTTTCTTAATATATGGAATAGTCAGGTTATCTCTTCCCTCTGGAGTGAACTTTGCTACATGGTGTCTTTCAATGAGTTTGTTCATTTTATCTGAATGTTCAAATTTATAGACATAGAGTATACTGTATTATTCCTCTATTATTTTTAGTGTTTGTAGGACCTGCACTGAAGTCCTCTTTTTCATTCTTGATATTGGTTATTTGTATTTCCTCTCTCTCTCTCTGTTTCTCTCTCTCTCACCATCTGGCTAAAGATTTGTCAATGCTATCGATCTTTTCAAATAACCAATTTTACGTTGAACAAAATCTCTTTTTTGTTAAAATCCATTCATTTCTGCATTCATTTTTGTTATTTTCTTCCTTCTGCTTGATTTAGGTTTAATTATATATTTTTTTCTAGTTATTTTAAGGCATAAACTTAGATCATTAATTTGAGAACTTTGTTTTCTAATATAAGCATTTAATGTTTAACATTTCTCTTTAAGCATTATTTTAGTTGCATCCCACAAAATTTGAGATATTGATTTTTGATTTTCATTCAGTTCAATTAAAATTTTTCTCTTTTGTCTTTTTCTTTAACTCGGAAGTATGTTGCTAAATTTTTAAAAATTTGGGGGCATTTTCAGGGACTTTTCTGTTACTGATTTCTAGTTTAATTTTATTATGTTCAAAGAACACATTTTCTGTGATTTTAATCATTTAAACTTGTTAAATCTTATTTTTTTAGGCCATAAATTGTCTATCCTGGTGAATGAAGCACACTTCAAAAGAGTAAGTACTCTACTGTTGTTGAATAAAATGTACTTCATCTGTGTTCTTATTCTATTGATTATTGAGAGAAGAATATTAAGGCCTCCATCTTTAATTGTAGATTTGTCGATTTCTCCTTACTCTTCTGTCAGTTTTTGCTTCATGTATTTTGAAGCTCTGTCGTTAGGTGCATATACATTTCAGATTGTTATGTGTTCTTGTGAATTGGTAATATTCCTTTTCTGAAGCCATTCTTGTCTGATATTAATATACCCACTCAGTTTTCTCTTGATTAATGTTTTCATGGCACATCTTTGTTCCCTGGACTCTGTACAGTCCCAAGAACCAAGACTCTATCTCTGCCCTCAAAAGAGCTCACTGTCCAGAAGGGGATATACATGTATAAACAAATAAATGCAAACTGCTAAGAGGCTTGAGAGTAGAATGTAAAAGCTACTGAAGTGGAAGCTATGGAGGGAGCAGTTGTTTCTTGATTTCTTTTCTTTTTTTTTTTTTTTGAGAAGGAATCTTACTCTGTTGCCTAGGCTGGAGTACACTGGCTCCATCTAGGCTCACTGCAGCCTCCACCTCCCAAGTTCCAGACATTCTCCTGCCTCAGCCTCCTGATTAGCTGGGACTACAGGCGCATGCCACCATGTCTGGCTATTTTTTTTATTTTTTAGTAGAGACGGGTTTTACCATATTGACCAGGCTGGTCTGGAACTCCTGACCTTGTGATCTACTCTGCTTGGCTTCCCAAAGTGCTGGATTACAGCCACTGTGCCGGGCCCGTTTCTTGATTTCTAATAATTAAATGGAAGGCTCTGGGACAGATGCTGAGGTTGGCAAAATTCATGGTGTTTCGTGTTTTCTCCTCTCTAAGAAACTTTAGTCTTACTCAGGATGCCTTGCTGCTGTGCTTAACCTGAGACAAAACCCACAGCAGCACCTATCTCTCTGGATTTCTTCCTTCTATGTCTTAACCACTGACTTGCAAACCTGTCCCCTACTGCCTGCAATGGCAGCAGAGTATGCCTGATTACATTGTGATAACACATTATGGTGGGTTACTAGCACTTTATAATAGGCAGAAGAACTTCCAATTTTTTTGATGGCATTGGCTAATTATTTCCTTATATTAAGATACGGTGTTTTTCTAATATTTATTTGTCTTGACTTATTGCCTTTGGAAAACTATACACAAATATACTTACTGAGGAGAATCTTTCTGAATATGAAAATCTGGGAACTGGGAGACAGTAGCTTACCAAAGACATAGAAGACAAAAGGCCACCCAAGGGTATCAATGATAAAGCCACTTATGAGGATGGCAGTAAAGCATCCCAGCAATATTCCTGCAAAGACACAGAAAGTAAGCTGTGGTACTTTAGACTTCCACCTGACAAATACATACAGATTGATAGATGACATATTATAGAACAGTGACTCTAAACCATAAGGAGATGAGCATATTAGAATGCACAAACTTCAAATTTATGATTTAAGAACATATTTTTCTGGCAGTTCCCTATAACATAGCAGATGACTGTCATACTTCCTTTCATGTTCTTTTAATTACACAAGTCCTATATGCTTACTGTCAAAGTAAACTGCTGCAAAGAGCCAAAGTTCCTCTCATGTGCCTTCCCAGCCATTCTCACTATTCTCTCTAAAATTAACCATTAGTAACAATGTATTATATAATATATAATTGCATACCTTTTTTTCTGCACACATAAATAATATATATCTACACATAGTCATCCTCTTGGTAAATGTATTTATGTAATATGTAGACAGAAAGCTAGATTTTTCTATAAATGTGCTAATAACTCTGTTATATTTTTTATAGCTTTTTAGAATGTTCTAATATGGTAGGGCACGTTCCCTTTTCTATCACTTTTTCAAACATTTCTAGGTATTTTTTTTATTATTTTCCAGATGAACATTAATATTAACCTGTCAAATTCTATATATGTATATAGGAGTTATCATTTTTAAACACAGAGGATCATAATGTTTCTATTGTTTTGTGACTCCATTTTTTATTCAGCAATTGGTCTTGTAAGCATTTTTATGTCATTGTAGATTCTACCTAATTATTCTGAACATAGACATAATTTATTTATTTCTCCACAATAGAATATCGTAAGTGGACTTGCTAGGTCAAAGTCTAAGATCAAAGGTTATGTGCATTTAAATTTTGGTAAATACTGACAAAGTACCTTACTAGAAGCTGTACCAAATTAAATTGCCTATATATATATATATATATATATGTACACAGACACACACACACACACACACACACATTTTCTCATCTCCTTGACAGCATTTAATATCCTCAAAGATTTTCTTGTTGTTGTTGTTTCTTGTTCTTTTGTTGTTTGAGACAGAGTCTTGCTCTGTCACTCAGCCTGGAGATTTATTACAATAGTGTGATCACAGTTTACTGTAATCTCAAACTCCCAGGCTCAAGCAATCCTTCCATCTCAACCTGCCAAGTAACAGAATGACAGGTACATGCCACCACACTGGCTAACTTAAATTCTTTATAGAGATGGGAATCTTGTTATGTTGCCCATGCTGGCCTGGAACTCTTGGCCTTAAGTGACCTTCCATCTTGGCCTCCCAAAGCACTGGATTACAGGCATGAGCCACCATGCCCAGCCCCTTGAAGTTTTAAAAAATTGCCTTTCCAGCCGGGCACAGTGGCTCACACCTGTAATCCAGCACTTTGGGAGGCCGAGGTGGGTGGATTACGAGGTCAGGATTTCAAGACCAGCTCGGCCAACATGATGAAACCCCATCTTTACTAAAAATACAAAAAATTAGCTGGGTGTAGTGGTGGGTACCTGTAATCCCAGCTACTTAGGAGGCTGAGGCAGGAGAATCACTTGAACCCAGGAGGCAGAGGTTGCAGTGAGCCGAGATAATGCCACTGCACTTCAGCCCAGTCAGCAGAGTGAGACCCTGTCTCAAAAAAGAAAAAAGAATGCCTTTCCAATATTAATGAAAAAGAGAGTGGGGAGTGGTGGCTGATGCCTGTAATCCTAGTGCTTTGGGAGGCAGAGGTAGGAAGATCAGTTGAGGCCTGGAGTTCAAGTCCAGCCTGGGCAAAGAGCAAGACCCTGTCTCTACAAAAAGTAAAAAATTATCCAGGCATGGTGGTGCCTGACTGTAGTTTCAGCTACTCAGGAATCTGAAGTAGGAGAATCACTAGAGCCTAGGAGTTCAAGGCTGCAGTGAGCTGAAATCATGCCACTGTACTCCAGGCTGGGCGGCAAAGAGATACCTTATCTCAAAAAAAGTAGAATAAATAATAAAGAGCATCGCATTTTAATTTCCTTTTTCATAGTAAAGTTGCACATTTTTTCCTATCTTTAGCTATCATTTTTATTTCTTCTGTGAACTGTCTGTTCATAATCTTTTTGTCTTTGTTTATTTTGCTTGTTTAATTTTGTCTTAATTTACAGAATCTTTATGTATTGTGAATGATCCTCTGTCTGGTGTGCTGGCTGCAATTGTCCTCCCATCTTTAACTTTTTAAATGTTGTGTTTTATAATTCAGCTGTAAGTTTGTGTGGAACCAGACCTATATTTCTACTCTATAATGACCTCTACATTTACTCTTTTATTTAGATCTTTTCCCACCCAACAATGTAAAAAAAAAAAAAAAAAAAAAAAGTCACTTATTTACTTGTGTTGCCTCATTTAAGCACTAGTAGTTAGATTTATAATTGAGTAAATAGAAAAAATAAATAACTTGCCAAAGGTCACATCATTAACAGGGGAAGGTGGTGTTGGAAAGGAGATGGCCTGACCCCAGGCCACAGATACCTGGAGATGGAAAACAGCATCTTTTTCTACCACTAAGTCCACCAAATTTGCATCTTTTCCCTGAACTCTCTGCCTTTGCTTTGATTATAGTGGGGGACAGGTTCCTGCACTGCATCCATCCAAAACCAGGTCCCTTCTTGTCCTCTGGACCCCATCTCCTCCACTGTACCCCAGGCTTGGAATCCTAAGAGTACGCATTCTCTCTCTGTATCCTCACTTCCCTCCTCAACTCATGAATCTTTCACATCCACATGCAAATATAGCTTCCTGTGACCCATGCCAAAAACAAAACAAAACAAACAAACATTTCTACCTCTTCAGAACCCTCTCCACGTACTTATTCATTTCTCTGCTTCTCTTCAAGGCAAAACTTCTCAAAAGGCTGTGCTCACTTGCCTCCATTCTCTTTCTTCTTGTTCTTTCCTTGGCATCTGTCACACACACCTTCCTTGTTTTCCCATTGCTTCATGGGAAGCTTCTCAGAACCTTTGCTGGCCTGTCATTCTCTTCTATCTGAGGCCTGAATACTGGAAGGCTTCTTGGCTATTCCTTTGGTTTTCTTCTCTTCTCCATCTATGCTCTTTCTCTACGTGGTCTTGTCTAGGACAGGGGCTTTAAATACTATTTCTGTTGAAATACTGAGGAATTTTGAGTATGTCCTGTTTTTTCTTATATTGCTACCAAATTCTAAACTATAAAACAGTCTTCATTCAGATGCCTAGTAGTTCATGGCTAATACTTGGTTTACACTGGCTTATTTAATGCTTAAATACATACACACAAATACATATACATGCATTCGCATCTATTATAAGTTGATATCACATGTATCAACCTGTGTGTGAGTGCTGCATCATATATATGTTCATATCTAAAGTATATTTGTTTTGTTTTTATGTTTTGGGCTTTATTAAAGTTATATCATCCTGGATGTCCTTTTCTTTTATTTTTTTTGAGACAGAGTCTTGTTCTGTCACCCAGACTGGAGTGCAGTGGTGTGATCTTGGCTCACTGCAACCTCCACCACCCAGGTTCAAGCGATTCTCCTGCCTCAGCCTCCTGAGTAGCTGGATTACAGGCGCGTGCCACCACACTCGGCTTATTTTTGTATTTTTAGTAGAGATGGGCTTCCACAATGTTGATCAGGCTGGTCTTGATCTCCTGACCTCGTGATCTGCCTACTTTGGCCTCCCAAAGTGCTGGGATTACAGGCTTGAGCTACCACACCCGGCCTGGATGTCCTTTTCTAAGACATTGTAATGTGTTTGCTCTAGCATATGAGAATATTCATTTCTACCATAGAAAATAAATGAATTCGCCTTCTATTAGTCAAATATCATAAGATGTGTTGGGTTTGGATTAAAACAATGTTGTGAGATATTGATAGGCAGGATTTATAAGCTGTGTAAATTAAAGATAAGTAATTTACTAAGAATATCATGTTTGTCTTTGAACATAGATATAAAAGGATACAAAGACTAAGAGACAAATAATATTAGGTAATGATTTTAAACATGAGTCTCTGAACATTCATGAAGGTTTAGAGGCATTCAATCAGGGGAGCGCTGAAGTTCATGAAATTCCAGTGTGGCCAACTCTTTCCAACTCTTGTGTTCAGTGACTTGACTGAATCTTGAAATCAGCCATGGTGGGAGTGTTTACAGCACAGAAACTGATAAATACTATAAATGAGCTTATTTTTCCCCCTAAAAAGCCTATTTAACAGCACATCACTGCTGACTCAATATTTGTCTGGGCCTAATTCAGCACCTACTGGAAATACCCATCCTGTCCCCATGTGCTCAAGAAACACAAAGCAATGGCAGTTAGCAAGTTCTTCAGAGAATGGAGCAGTGGCCAGCAGTCCCCACTCTTGTGTCTTTCCCATACAGCAAGTGCATGTCATTGGCCCAGATGCCTCCTCTGTGGACACTCCTGTTTGAACCTTAATTCTGGTTCTCAGAACCACACCATCAGTGGTAAGGGTGGTACAGCAGAAAGACAGAGGAAGAATGTTTGAACACTTGAACATTCTGTATACTTCATTCAGGTCGTGGGATCCTTCTACCTGTGTATACTCTATCTTACATGAGTTAACTTACCCCATTTCCACTCCTCCCCCTTACTTTTTACTCTGTGTTTTAAATTGATGTAACTGTGCAATTACAGCACCTAATTTGGTCTGTGATCCTATCATTCCATGACCTCTGGGACAGCTGTCTGGTAGCATACCTAGGCTACCAAGGTATGAAAGCATTTTCCTCTGTGATAGACATGCTTTATTCATATAACATTTGTGTTTCTAAGATTAATCTATGTTGTTTCATATAGCTACACTTTCTTCATTTTTACTGCTGTATGATATTATATTGTTTTTAGATTAAAGGTGTTTGGATTAATTTTTCCCGTCACCTATTAAACCTGCCTCAAATATTAAATACCAGTTCTGTTTGGTCTGCTCGGTCCCTTAAGTTACTAAGCTCCATAACTGGCTGCAGAGTTTCCTATCTATAATAGGTGTACCTTTTTAGGCTCCCTTAGAAGAAGATACAGTACAGTGTGCCCTAGAGGCTGGCAGTACTTGAGCCCTTCCACTAAAGGTAGGTGCCTTCTGGGGTATTCCTACTTTAATCTTATGAGCTGAGCAATTGCATCCACCACTACAACCTGCAGAGGAGCCCCAGCATCATCAAAAATGGCAATTTCTATAAGACCTACTGAGGAAAGCAGGCAGGTTCAGCTCACTCCACCTGATGGTGGGATTCTCCAGTAGCTTTTTGTTGGGTGCCTTCAGACAGCCAAGGGGTCTGTGATCTCTAAACCAGGTTTGGAGGCCAGAAAGGATCACCTGCCTGGAGCCTCTGAAATAGTCCATCAACACCAAAGATGAGAAAACTACTGGAACTTGCACCTTGTAGGCTACTGAGATTCCTCTAGATATTGTCATTTGACCAATTCTGGTTGTTCAGTCTCTATATTCTCAGAAGTGAGAGGAAAGGGAGTTGCCACTTTCTGCAAGGTCACTGTCTTCAGTCCAAGTCTTTTAATTTTCTTTCATGCTTTCCATCTCCTGATTTTCTTGTGCTGTATTCTGAGATAATCCCTCAGTGCAATAAACGAAATGAACTTTCTTAGTCCAAACTGCAAATGGCAAAGACTAATCCTTCAGAGTTGTGAGGGCTTTAGAGCGTGCTGTCAGTCACGGTGTGGGTGTGGCTTATTTTCTGGACTTGAACGGTCCCTGCCTTCTTGGTCTCATTAATTACTTGGAGAGTTACCCTTTTTTTCCTCATCCAGCACCCACTTTAGCAATCTCCTGTTTCTTAACCTTACACCGTCCATTTTCCACACTTCTCCATTATAACTTAGGCTTTTTCATCCAGAATATTCATCCAGAGCACACTGTCCAGGCAGATCATTATCAGAAAGAAGTTCTCAGGACAATTGAGAGCAAATCCAAAGAAGATTAAGTTGAATCTTTACCTTCCATTGCAAAATAGTATAAACTCCTGTAAGTCAGGAATTAACATATGAAGATAAAACGATACAAGCTGAAGAAAAAAACATGGAGTTTTTTTTTAATAACCTTTCCATTTATAACTCAAAATCCAGATGCCATAAAAATGATCAATTTGACCACATAAAAATATTTTTTAAATGCTCCAAGTCATAGACTAGGCAAAGTCATGCCACAAATGACAACCTAGGGAAAATAACTGAAAGTCATGTTACAGGCAAAGGACTAGTCTTTTTAACTTAAAAATACCTCATTGACATTGAGCAGTTGAAGAATCATGCAATGAAAAGTTGTGAAGTACCCAGTGGGAGAATGTTTGATTGTAGTGTACCCATTTGGATTACATGTCCTTACCTGATAAGGCAATGCTGTAGAGTCTGTTTTGTTCATGCGGAAGGCCCCATTTCCCCCAAATTGCAAACTGACCCCCAAGTATTGAGCCCTGAAATTAAAATGATTAGAGTTCTTAATGTGTGGTGCCATGTAGAAATTCATATCCAGCTCAGATTTATAAAATATCGGGTACCTGGCTTAGGCCCTGGGCTATTCGAATTACAATGAGGAAAGCTGTTCCAAAGTCAGCTGCTGGAGGGATGCACAGAATGAGAAATGAATTTGCAAACAAAGAAACGCCAACCACTCGCTTTGTTCCTACTCTTCCAGCCAGGTATCCACTGAGAGCCATTGTCAGTATGGCACCATAGCTGACAGCACCAAAGATGATGCCTTGGATTTGAGGACACCACTCATACACAGGAGCCTTAGAGAAACAGAGAATGTTGTCATAAACCTTATATAGAAGGATTCTTACATACCCTAAGAAGCTTCTTTAGACATTTTACTTGCTTTCAAATCACTATTTTCTCCATTAAGGTGTTTTTTGTTTGTTTGTTTTTCTATTTTTCTTCTTTGGTGTTTTTTTTTTTTTTTTTGAGTTGGAGCTTCACTCTTGTTGCCAAGGCTGGAGTGCAATGGCACAATCCTGGTTCACTGCAACTTCTGCCTCCCAGGTTCAAGCAATTCTCCTGTCTCAGCCTCCAGAATAGCTGGGATTATAGGTTCCCACCACTGCACCTGGATAATTTTTTTGTATTTTTGATAGAGACTGGGTTTCACCATGTTGGCCAGGCTGATCTTGAACTCCTGACCTCAGGTGATCCACCCACCTCAGCTTCCCAAAGTGCTGGGGTTACAGGCATGAGCCACCACGCTTTGCCTTTACTAAAGTTTTTAAAAACGCATACTCTAGAAAAATAAATATCCAAACAAAAAGCAAAAAGAAAAGCACAGATTTATATCTTGTATTGCTTACCTTTGCAGGAAGACTCTTTGGGGCTTTATTTAGGTCACCAAATGAGTCAACAGGCAGCCCCTCAGGGGAGCCATTGAGCTGGGATTGAGGGCTTGTGCTGTTGACCATGGCTACGATGGTGATGCTCATAATGACATTTTGTGCCATCATTATAAAGTTGCAGAAATGTAAGATGAGGGCTATTCCAAAGCGAGTAGAACATACAATAGGAACTGGAAATATTATGACATCATGTTAGTACTTTTTAAAATTGAGCTAACATTAGTTTTTCACAAGATATAATTTTAAAAGTACCTGATCACCTAACGATTTAAATCAGTACTTAAATGACACTTCTACTGGCTTTAGGAAAGGAAGATACAAAAGAAGGAGATCACTGAGTTGAGTAAAAGGATGTTTTATACCATAGCTTTATAGAGCCTGACTTCGTCTCGGCCATTCTGTTCATCCCAGAATTTTGTCTCTCTCATTCCTAGGTCATTATGTTCTACAGTTGATGAAATTACTCACAAGTAAATATGTATACATATGTGTGTGTGTACATATATGTAACACATATATATTAAAAGAAAATATATACATATAAGTATGTACACATTTAATTGCTACATGTAATTTATATTACATATAATTTGTATGTATAATTATGTATAAATATATAGCATATAATTTATATATGACATGTCTATTCATAATGTACTATATATTATGTATAATATGTATAAATTTCATATATGTTAATGTAATGTAATTTACACTTTGAAGAGAGTTGTCCATTGGTATAGATGTATTCCATTCATATCTTCAAGCATTGAAGATATACTTTCATTTAAATTTTGAGATTAAACTCTTAGGAAGATCCTCTCATTAGAGAAATTGACACCCACAGACTATGAAAAAATAAAGTGAAAAATGGTGGAAAAAGAAATGAGCAAGCATTCAAATAATCTGTGTTTGTACGTCCAGGAGAGATGGCAGTTTAAATGCAGAAATTTCATTCTCCTTCTTCCAGATCCTGGCTAAACTGTCCAAAAAATGTAGAACATAGAGCAGTCTGCATTTGTGGTTGAAATTAAAGAACTCTTCAGAAGTTAAAATCTGGGGGAAAATCAGTTAGATGAAATTGAATGGTACAAAAGTTTCAAAGGTGTGGTTTCTACTCAGCTTCTTAAAAAGTCTTGAGCATTATATTAAGTGAGTAGAAGGTATCCTGGCAGAACACAGCTAACAGTCTAATTTGAAGAGCAAATAAAATGTGTGAAGCAAGAAGCTGTATTTATCTGGGCTCAGATTTTTTACTCAAGGACTTCAGGCAGAATAGCCCTTTGGAACTCTCTCCACCCTTTCATTTTTTTCTGCATGGGAAGAAAAGGGATTTAGACCAATGAGATTGGGTAGATAAATCGAGGATGTATAGCTCTGTATCTTCTCCAGCCTGCCTGGAAGCTATGCTGTCTACTCTCCTGCCATGCAGTTACTTTAGCAGAGCAAGCCTGGACTTGTCCAGTTCACCTTATGCCTGGGGAAATAAATCTATTCAATGCAAGGGAAGTAGCAGGGAGCTGGATTGACCACTCTTCTAGGCCATGTCCTCTAGTCCAGATTTTACATCTTCTCTCAGTTATTGAAGAAAACACTTATCAATCACCTCCAATATTGGGCCTTGGAAGTGTAGCAGCAAACATAGCAGACAAATAGCCCTGTGTTTGGGAACCTGACATTCCAGAGAGAAGCACAAAATATGCAACACAAACACTAAATCAAATAATGTATTAGAAGGTGATAAATGCTGTAGAGAAAATAAAGCAAGAAAGGGGGAAGTCGTAATGACATTCCAGAGAGGTGGTCATGCCGCCATCTGGAGAAAGAACATACAAAGTAGAGGGAACAGCCCTGAGGCTGGTTGGAGAGTGCCTGGTATGTTCAAAGAATCAAAGGCGACTATGATGAATGGAGTAAGCCAGGGGTACAAGAAGAGATGTCAGGAAAGCTAGATCACGGGGACTGAATTGTTCAAGACACATGGGCCATTGCAGGTATTTTGGCTTTTATGTTGAATGGGATGGGGGCCACTGGAGGGTTGTCAGCAGGAGTGAGACCTGATATGACTTACATTTTGAAAGGATCTCATTGGCTGCAGAAAGAAGAACAAAACAATAGGGAGGAAGTGCAGGTAGGAAGCTATTGTAATCATTCAGAAGAGAAGTGAAGCTATCTAGGATTAGGGTCATAGCAGTAGCTAATATGTGGTCAGACCGCAAATAAATCCTAGCATGGAAAAAACACCAAATACGAGTTTCAGTTTTACAGGTGGATGAAAGACAAGGAGAAAGGGAATTGGAGAGGTTTTTGTTCTAAACAACAAGAAGAAGGAAGTTGTACTTTCCCAGGAAGAAAGCTCTTTGGAAGGAGCAGGTTTGGGAGGTCGGTTGATCAAGAACTTGTTACTGCACATGTTAGAACAGTGATGCCTCTTAGGCACCAAAGAGAAGGTGTTGAGCTTGTTGGATATACAATTCTTAAGTTTAGAAGAGAGGTAGGAGTTGAGGCATAACTTTGAGAGCTAATAATCTATAGAGGGTACTTAAAGCCATAAAAATTGGGAAATGAAAATAGAGAAGAGAACCAAAGACTAACTCTGAGGCTCTCCAGTGTTTGGAGGTTGGATAGATGGGGGAGAGCAAGCCTGAAAATAAATAGAGAGGAGAACCAAAGACTAACTCTGGGGCTCTCCAGTGTTTGGAGGTTGGATAGATGGAGGAGAACAAGCCTGGACTTTCCTTTGTTTAAAGGAAAATGAAAAGGAATTGATGGTGGAGTAAGAAGAAAACGAGGAGGATGCAGTGTCCTGGAAGCCAAGGGACAAGAGTTTCAGGGAAGAGGGAGTCAGTAGGTGCCTCAGATATTCCTGTTAGGTCATGTAAGATGATGCCTGTCAAATCCGCACAATGAGGCAGCTATTACTACTATTTTACGGATGAAGAAACACAGGCACAGAGACCAGCTCACAAAGTAGCTCAGGTGTCTGTGCTTTTCACCACTGTACCACATATATATGGTGGCTTCTGTTTTGTCCAAGATGATTCCATGAGAATACTTCTGCTATTAATACAGCCCAAGTGCACTCAGCTGTAGGGTTTATGTGGCTCTGTGATGTGGGATAAAGAGGTTCCTTGAGATTAACAAAGGAGGATTCCTCTTATGGCTATGCTATCTTCTATTGAAGAAGTACATGTCTTTGTAGTGAATAAACTCAGATATAATATCTTTGTAAGGTTTTTTTTTTTTTTTTTTTTAAATCTGATTTAGCACTGTTGGTGACTTCCTCTGTCAATCGAATTGACTAATAATTTGTGAGTTCTTGTGGCCTCTGATTTTCCCAAGTTCCTTTGGAATCCTAGGTACCAAAGGCTACGAAAAAGGGTATCAGAAAACCAACAGACTAATGGCTTACAAATGAGGAGGTTGAACACTTGCCTCATAAAAGTGCTGAAAGATTAACTAGAGAGTATATTTTAAAGGCTTAGCCTGGTGCTTGTTAGATATTAAGTGTTTCCTGCAGTTGACTATTTTTGTCCTCAGAAGTTACTTGTGTCCTGTGTTCATTCTGAATGAACTGTACCAGTTATGCCTACCCTAATAGATTGGTGCCAGTGATGTGCTGTCTGTTCAATTTTTTGTGGTCACTCCTAGCTATACAAGAATGTGTGGGTCTGTATACATGTGAGAAAGTGTAAATTAAGAAGCACCTAAGGGTATTCTATTTAACTACTGGAAGAGGTCACTGACACCATGAAATCATAGATTTTTGAACCTGAGAGGTTATATTAATGAATTCAATACTACTGTACTCAGAATCCAGGAAGCTTGTTTCTTAACTTGATGTGCCAGACAGACCTTAACGTGGCCCCAGTGATTACTACATCATGGTATTCTCACCTTTATATAATTCCCTTTCCTTGTATGGGGCCAGGACATTTCACTTGCTTGTATCCAACAGAATATGGCAAAGGTGACAAGATGTCACTCCCATGATTACATGATGTTATATAAGACTCCATCTTAGCAGACTAAAGATAAACACTCTTCATGTGGGCTTAATGAAGTAAGCAGAAAGTTGGAGAGGTTTACATAATAAGGAACCATGAACATCCTCTAGGACCTGAGAATGGCCTTCAGCCAACAGCCAGAGCCCTCAGTCAAACAGCTATAAGAAAATGAATTTTTCTAACAACCCGAATAAGCCTGAAAGTAGGTTCTTCCCTAGTCCACCCTTCAGATAACATTGCAACCTGAGGCAGGGCGCCGTGGCTCACGCCTGTAATCCTAACACTTTGGGAGGCCAAGGCGGGTGGATTGCCTGAGGTCAGGAGTTTCAGACCAGCCTGGCCAACACAGTGAAACCCCGTCTCTACTAAAAACACAAAAAAATTAGCTGGGCGTGGCGATGCATGCCTGCAACCCCAGCTACTAGGGAGGCTAAGGCAGGAGAATCGCTTGAACCCAGGAGGTAGAGGTTCCACTGAGCTGAGATTCCCACCACTGCACTCCAGCCTGGGCAACAAGAGCAGGCTCCATCTCAAAAATAAATAAATAAATAAAAAACTAATAAAAGAATACAACTTGATCAACCACCCAATTGTAGCCTTGTGAGACCCAGAGAAGTAGAACCAGTTAAGCCAAGCTGTGCCTGGAGCTCTGAGCCACAGAAACTGTAAGATAATAAACGTGTGTTGTTTCAGGCTACTATGTTTATGGTAATATGCATGCAGAAATAGAAAATGAATACAGTTGGCAAAAAATAATAAAGGCTAGTTGGATGACTATACAAGAATTTGGCGGGGAGTAAGTATTGAAAAATGCTTGCATTACAAAATTTATCGTGAGAGTAAAGATAAGACATTATTGTATTGAAGAATAAGAATACTCAGAAAAATCTAAGGAACAATGGAAAAACATCCAAAAGAATCATGCAATGTGTAAAGGATGTGGCAATTAATGGGAGAAAACTAGATGATGTAATTAGTACTGCTGAGATAATTGGTGACATAAATGGAAAATAAAATTGCAGCAATATCATGTTTTAAATTAAAAGAAAGCACAGATAATAATGCAATAATACTGCATTTTGTCAAATTTAAGTCACCATTGATACATTTATTTTTGTTCCACTAAAAATCAATTAATCAACTGATTAACACATCAAACTGAATAGGTCTGAAACTAAGCTCTTGAGCTCTACCACCTCAAAACTTCCGCCCAGAGTCTTTCCCGATTCAATTGATGGAAATCTCATTCTTCCAAACACTTTGCAATTTTTGATCTGGAATGCACCATTGTCTTCATATTCAAAATGTGTGTAGAATCCAACAGCTTCTCACAAGGGCCACGGTTACTTTTTGGCTTGGAGCTGATTCCATGTGGTTTTGGCTACCAATATCTCCTGCCTGAATTTCTGCAGTAACCTTTAGCTTTGGTTCCTTGCTTTTAATCTGTTTTCAATACAGCAGTTGGAGTATTCTCATCATACCACAAATAAAATCACCTCCTCTTCTGCTCAAAATCCTCCATGTGATTCTATTTTTGGATTAAAAACTGAGGTCTCTGTAGTGGCCAAAGGAAATGAAATGTGTAAACTCTTTACCTTGCAATTTGCATTTCTTGGGGATAAACTCTGAAGAAATAATTCCAAATGTGGACTAGTGTTATGTTAAATAGTGTTCACTTATCAACTTATAGATTGTATAATAACTGACATACATAGTTTATATACATCTCATAACCAAGTAACATATATAGTCCATATATAGATATAATAACCGAGTAACAAAACAAAACCTCACAAATTAAATATCCAGCCACAAGAAGATTTTTCAGCTAAATAATACTTCATCTACTGGATATGTTGGAATCTATTGGATATGTTGGAATATAATATGTATCCTTTAAGAATCTATATTGTTTTATAAGGTTCACAAAGAAATTCACACTTTGTGAATCTTATAAAGCAATATGGAAAAGTATATACTGTCAAGTTAAAAAATACACAACACAATATATAAAGTATAGAACTATGCAAAATATGCATATGAAATAAAGGCAATAACATTAAATTATAGTAGTTGAATTAAGCTTATTCAAATCTTTTTATTTCTTGTTTTTTGAAGTATCTGTGATTAGTTTTTCTTTTTTAAGTTAAGCAATACAATTATGTTTAAAATATTACATGCAATAACAAGCAAGACACATAATACTATGTGTAGACAATTCAGTAGCAATTATCAAGAATGTAAACGCATATAGATAAAGATTGAAAGGCAACTGTCAAAAACAAAACTCTACTTTTTAGTAATATTTATTTCCTTCATGTTTGTAAAATATGTTAATTTTACCGGATTTATAAAAAGAATTAAAACAACTTAAAAGTTACAAATTCATTTTTTATAGTAATATGTTGACAAAAAGAACTCACTGTAAAACCCTAAAACCAAGCAATTGAGGTTGAATTTACCTTTCCTGGGTATGAGTCCCTCATCCACTTGCTTATCTTGGGCGTACTTCCTCTCCCTTGCTATGGGGCCCAACTCTGTCTTGGTGGCCATTGTGTTTCTCCTCTATTGGTGAATGGTTTTCACCTATCAGAGGAATACATAGTTCACACACATCAGTTGAGAGAAAAGGACTCCCCTTTAAAATATTTAAACAGGGGTATCAAGAAAACAAAAGCTGATCCATTCCGTCTGGTTGGGGACAGGGAGGCTCATTATTCCCTCTTGGCTCAACACAACAGGCATACTGCACCTAGGGTTTGAAATTGTTCATTAGGATCTAGAGTGCTCTCAATGTGCCAGCTTATGAGCACTGGCTTTGGAGTTAAGCATTCCCAAGTTCAAATCCAGGTTCATGATTTACTGTGCCAAGTGGCACTAGGAGCACATTTGTGTGTTTCAGTTTCCTCATCTGTTGTTAATAACAACATCTTCATCAATAAGCTGCTGTAGGCTTAAACAGATTGCACATGCCTAGAACATTGACAGATACCCACAGTTGATTGTCATCATCACTGGAGCTACCACAACAGTGGGTCACCTCAGAGCTATGCTCCTCTGGAATCCTCTACCTGTACCTGAGAACCTGGCTTCTACTGCCCTTGACAACTCCCACACTGCTTCCTCATTTGACTCACTGCGAGTATTGCTGATATGTGTGTCACTCATAATTGGGAACCAAATTTGCATAATGAGAAGATAACATTCAAATCTCATATTATTATTGTCCATTGGTTGGTATTGTGTCTACAGAATTCTTGAAATAACATGGAGGTTGCAACCTTTTTGCATATAAGAAAACTAAAAAGAACCATTACTACATTACAATACTAGGATCTTTAGTGGAGATTTTTATGTGTTACTATATGTAGAGCTGTAATATTTGTGCTATGTTTAATGCTCATATTATTAAATGTATGGATCTCTTAAAGAAAAAGTGTCAAAATGTATAAGTGCTTCTACCACTAATAAACCAAACTTTTCGGCTTAGTAAATTAAATCCTCTTAAACATCTAAACACATCTCACGCCAGTTAGAATGGCGATCATAAAAAAAAAACCTGGAGACAACAGATGCTGAAGAGGATATGGAGAAATAGGAACACTTTTACACTGTTGGTGGGAGTGTAAATTAGTTCAACCATTGTGGAAGACCAGGTGGTGATTCCTCAAGGATCTCGAAATAGAAATACCATTTGACCCAGCAATCTCATTACTGGGTGTATACCCAAAGGATTATAATTCATTCTCTTATAAAGACACATGCACACGTATGTTCATTGTGGCATTGTTTACAATAGCAAAGACTTGGAACCAACCCAAATGCCCATCAGTGATAGACTGGATAAAGAAAATGTGGCACATATACACCACGGAATACTATGCAGCCATAAAAAAGGATGAGTTCATGTCCTTTGCGGGGGCATGGATGAAGCTGGAAACCATCATTCTCAGCAAACTGACACGAGAACAGAAAGCCAAACACTGCGTGTTCTCACTCATAAGTGAGTGCTGAACAATGAGAACGCATGGACACGGGGAAGGGAACATCACACACCAGGCCCTGTTGGCGGGTGGGGGCATTAGGGGAGGGATAGAAGGGGGTGAGGGGATTGGAGAGGGATAGCATTAGGAGAAATACCTAATGTAGGTTACAGAGCAATGGATGCAGCAAACCACCATGGCATGTGTACACCTATGTAACAATCCTGTATGATCTGTACATGTACCCCAGAACTTAAAGTATAATAATAAAAAAAAAATCTAAACACTAGTACTTAACCAGAACTGGCCTGATATCATTGTTGCAAACTAAGGAATAACTTTTAAATATGTTTTTATAATAAAAATTTTATTTTTCAGAGGTATGTTTCACCAAGAGAGGATGGCTTGATCCTGTGCAGTGTGCCCCTTTGTTAGGACATGCAGTTAAACTCTCTCTGGCTGCTGTAACAATTAGTGTTGCTTCTCTTTGCCACTTCACAATAGTGTGTGGTTACTATATGTGGTTGGTCTTTTCTCTTCTTGGATCTTACTTTTCCTCAACTTCTTGCGCTACCTCCAGAACCCAAATCCATCCATTCTTTATGAAAATAAATTTTATAAATAGGCATGTGTACTTTAAAACAAAGCACAGAACATCCTTCTATTCTCCTCTACATATTCAAATTTATTTTTAGAATATCCTTAGTAATGTCATCCTCCTTGTATTAGTACCTTTTTACATTAATGTCTCCTTTTTAGACAATCATTATGGGATCATGGTTTTAAAATGGCTCAATTTAAATGTGATTAATATTTTCTTTTAATGCTGAAATAATCCTACTTGGTTTGGGATCAGGTTCAGAGTGTGGCCTTTGGATATCTCCTATGTCTAGCCATTTAAAATAACTTTAAATAGCATTATTGATATATAACTGACATACAATGAACCACATTTATTTGAAGTGTACAATTCCTAAGTTTTGAAGGATGTATATACTTGTGAGATGGTTCATGCAATCAAAATAGTGAACAATATACAATTGGCCCTCTGTATCTTCAGGTTCACATCTGCAGATTCAACCAACCATGGATCAAAAATCCAGAGGGAAAAAAAATAAAAATAACAATACAATCATAAAAAATAATACTAAAAAAAAAAAACAGTGTAATAACTATTTACTTGGCATTTACATTGTACCAGGTAAGCAAATCTGGAGGATGTATATAGGTTATATGCAAATATGACACTTTATATCAGGGACTTCAATATCTGTGGATTTTGGTATCTGAGGGCATCTTAGAACCAGTCCCCTGTGGATCCCAAAGGTTTCCTCGTGTTCTTTTGTAATGTCTTCCTGCAGAGTCTCCTAGTATTTCCCTCGTTTATCCTGCCTCACCACCTCTGGCAAGCAATAATATACTTTCTCTGATATAATTTATGTTTTCTAGAAATTTTATAGAAATGGAATTGTATGAATCTGTTCTCATACTGCTAAAAAAAGACATACCCGAGATTGGGTAATTTATAAAGAAAAAGAGGCTTAATGGCCTCACAGTTTCACATGGCTGGGGAGGCCTCACAATCACGGCATAATGCAGAGGAGAAGCAAACATACACCTTACATGGCATCAAGCAAGAGCGCTTGTACAGAGGAACTCCCATTTATAAAACTATCAGATTTCATGAGACTTATTCACTATTATGAGAACAGCACAGAAAAGACCCACCTCCATGATTCACCTCCCGTTGGGTCCCTCCCATAAGACTCGGGGATTATGGGAGCTACAATTCAAGGTGAGGTTTGGGTGGAGACACAACCAAACCATATCATTCTTCCCGTGGCCCTTCCCAAATCTCATGTCCTCACATTTGAAAACCAATCATGCCTTCCCAACAGTCTCCAAAAGTCTTAATTCATTTTAGCATTCACTCAAAAGTCCACAGTCCAAAGTCTCATCTGAAACAAGGCAAGTCCCTTCTGCCTATGAATGTGTAAAATGAAAAGCCAGTTAGTTATTTCCCAGATACAATGGGGGTACAGGTATTGGGTAAATATACATGTTCTAAATGGGAGAAATTTGCCAAAATGAAGGGGCTACAAGCCCCATGCAAGTCCAAAATACAGCAGGGCAGTCAAATCTTAAAGCTCCAAAGTGAACTCCTTTGACTCCATGTCTCATATCCAGGGCACACTGATGCCAGAGGTGGGTTCCCATGGCCTTGGGCAGCTGTGCCTCTGTGGCTTTGCAGCGTACATCTCCCTCCTGGCTGCTTTCATGGGCTGGCATTGAGTATCTGCAGCTTTTCCAGGTGCACAGTGCAAGCTGTCAGTAAATAAACCATTCCGCGGTCTGGAGGTTTGTGGCCCTCTTCTTACAGCTCCACCAGGCAGTGCCCCAATGGGGCTTCCAATCCCACATTTTCCTTCCACACTGCTCTAGAAGAGGTTCTCCGTGACTCCATCCCTAAAGCAAAACTCTGCCTGGACATCCAGGCGTTTCCATACATCCTCTGAAGTCTAGGTGGAGGTTTCCAAACCTCAATTCTTGACTTCTTTGCACCACCAGGCTTGACACCATGTGGAAGCTGCCCAGTCTTGCAGCTTGCATCCTCGGAAGCCACGGCCTGAGCTGTCTGGAGTGGCTGGGACTCAGGGCACCACGTCCCTAGGCTGCACACAGCAGGGGGTCCCTGGGCCAAGGCCCAGGAAATCATTTTCTCCTCCTAGGCCTCTGTTCCTGTGATTGAAGGGGCTGTCACAAAGGTCTCTTGACATGCCCTGGACGTATTTTTCCCCATTGTCTTAGTCATTAACATTCATCTCCTTGCTGCTTATACAAATTTCTGCAGCAGGCTTGAATTTCTTCCCAGAAAATGAGTTTTTCTTTCCTATTGTATTGTCAGGTTGCAAATTTTCCAAACTATTATGATCTGCTTCCTTATGAATGCTTTGCTGCTTTGAACCTTCTTCCACCAGATACCCTAAATCATCCCTCTCAAGTTCAAAGGTCCACATATCTCTACAGCACAGCCAAAAAGCCACATCTCTTTGCTAAAGCAGAGCAAGAGTCACCTGTGCTCCAGTTGCAATAAGTTTCTCATCTCCATCTGAAAGCACAGAAACCACATCAGCCTGAACTTTATTGTCCATATCACTGTCAGCATTTTGGTCAAATGCCATTCAACAAGTCTCTAGGAAGTTCCAAACTTTCCCACATTTTTCTATATTCTTCTGAGCCCTCCAATCTGTTCCATCCTCTGCCTGTTACCCAGTTTCAAAGTTGCTTCCACATTTTCAGTTATCTTTAGAGCAGCACTCCACTCTACTGGAACCAATTTACGCTACTGTATTAGTCTGTTCTCATGCTTCTAATAAGGACATACCCAAGACTGGGTAATTTATAAAGAAAAAGGGATTTAATGGATCCACAGTTTCACATGGCTGGGGGGGCCTCACACACATGGCAAAAAGAAGGAGCAAAGATATATCTTACATGGTAGCAGGCAAGAGAGCTTGTGCAGGGGAACTCCCATTTATAAAACCATCAGATTTCATGAGACTTCATTACCATGAGAACAGTATCGGGGAAACTGCCCCAATGATTCAATTATTTCCACCTGGCCCCACGTTTGACACTTGGGGATTATGGGGACCACAATTCAAGATGAGATCTGGGTGGGGACACAGCCAAATCATATCAGGAATCATAAAGTAGGAACTCATTTTTCTCCTGGTTTACTTCACTCAGTATAATTATTTTGAAATTCATCCCTGTTGTTGTACATATCAATAGTTCATTCCTGCTTATTACTAAATAATATTCCATTCCATGACTATATCACAATTTATCCATTTATTTTTAATTAAAAATTGCATTGTCACAGATTTTCGCCATTAGAAATAAAGCTGCTGTGAACACTTATGTACAGGTCTTTGTATAGATGTCTGCTTTCATTTCTCTTAAATACTTAGAAGTGAAATATCTAGATCATATGATAAATGTGGTATTAATGTCTCGTCAAGTCTTGGCATTGGGTATTCTAATTCCATGGTGTGGCCGGGACATTTCAAAAATAAGTCTCTGTTTCTAGGGAAATTGCCATGATTCTTTACTCAAAGATTGTCTAGGAGATATTTTACCAAATGACAAAGATGGGTCAACCTGCACTGTTTTGTGCAACATGGCAATGCTACACAGGAATTCGATGTTTCCATTAACAATTTTTCTCCTTTGAATGATGTTTATTCTCACTCCCCTGCTCCTTTATGATGTCAATGTAATGTGACTCTATGGCGTTGAGACTTTAACACCCCTATCATGGGGCTCTGCTTAGACTGGAGCATTTTAAAATGTCAGGTTTCCATTCTGAAGCCACCCCAAAATTATCCTGAATTAAGTGGCAGAGGGAGATGCCCAGATCTATGGCTTCTTCATAGCACATCAGCCTGTGCATTCTTGAGCTTGGTTAATGACAGAAAGGCTGGGTGCTGCACCATCAACCACTGGCCAGGAAGAAGTGCTTAGTGAGAAAACGATAGTCAGCTGAGGCCCCTGCAACATAGACTGATGACTCCCTGAAATGAACCGTATTTCTGTCATAAACAGGATCTGTTTGGTTAAATTTATAGCCTCTTATTTTAGTAACAGGTTGTTGTGTTTGTAAACTTGCTTTCAACTGACACATAGCATGATGTTCAGAAATGATGCCCACATGTTTGAATATACTCCATGTTAGCAGCCAAGAATGGTGGCTTAAGACACTGAGTTCTCTGAACTATTTATTGATGTTGGAATAGGTTCTTAGTTTCCTCTTCCTTAGATAAGTTGGATGGGGCTATGTGACATCTGACTGTTGTCTCAATCCAAGAAATTAAATAGCTGCTTGATGGGAAGAATGGTTGGCTTTTTGTTTTCTACAGTTAAATAAAGATCCTGAAAAGAGAAATGAGACAACCAAACAGACATCTCCAGTTATATTAAGTTGTATCAAAGGGGAACATTTTTTAAATAGATGAAGGCATGGAATAACCTGAATTAAGCTAGAGAATTAAAACTATTCTCAGAAAGAATACTGCACAGTAGGGCAATGATGTACTGGAAACAACTCACTTGGGGTTAAAAGAGCTCATTATTAATGTTTTTAGACATTTTTCAAACTAGTTGTTGAACACTGCTGTTAACTATTAAATGATATGAATTTAGAGTTCAGCTAGTTATATTTTTAAAAGCTAACACATATTTTTACTTTATCACTTAATTATTTCATGACATTTTACTGTAAGCTCTGCTCTTGAGGCTTTTTACATCTCTTGTATCTATATGGTGGGAATACTGTATAAAGATGTGTTATTGCATATCTCTCCCCAACTCTAAATTCAGTAATGTCATGGTGGTACCTTGGAATTGGCCATGATAGGAGCTTTAACACCCCCCACCACCGGCCAAAGAAAAGGCAAAGGCTACAAATTAGGGCTTAATTTGTTGTTTTATGGACTCCCTGAACTTAAGAAATTTATCACACTGTGTTCATCTAAGTGTGTGTGTATGCGTGTGTGTTTGTATACACACTACATATCTATATCCCCACACGCAAACTTACATGTACATGTAGAAATAGATATGTCATATGTATACTACATATACATGAAACCCAGAAACATGAGCCAGGCATGAAAACCCTGAAACATGAGCCAGACTTCACTTCCCGCTGATTTCCTTTGCAATGATACGACTTCTTCTGCAAAGCGTAGGTACTCTTGCTAAGATGGACATCCTTCATATTCAGCCCTACATTTGTGTTGCCACTGCTTCTATTCATCAGTATGCTCTCCAGTTTCCACAGACAGGAGTCCCCTGATTCCATGCTGATCTTCCCATTTGTCTCCTGACTTTTGAAAATATTAATACTTTTCAAAGCTATCTAAGGCTTCACATGACAGTCTATCATCTGCATACAGCTTGTACAAATCTATCTCCTGGACACCCCAAATGAACCAGGTTGTTACATCTTCTCTTGCCAGAAGGTCTTGTCCACCCACCTCACCATGACAGACGCCTACTGCCATGGAAACCTCAAAACATTTCACTGACTTAAAACACTGGATTCAGGCCCTGCTGACCCTTCCCACAGCCTGGGGCTATGAGTAGATGAAAGAGAAGTAATCTAGAGGGAGATTCCAAGGCACCCATGGGTGAGCCAAGAACAGGCTCAAGTAGCACAACATAAGAAATGCAGTCTCATTATCTTCTCTTAAATGTGCCCTTCCAATCAGACTGGTGGCCTTTCTACATCATGGCTTTACTCCACGTAACTCCCTTTTGTTTAAACAGCTCTCTTTATTTTCCACTAGAAAACTGTGCTGGTTATCTGGGTCAGAAACTATATATTGCACTGTGAGAAGTTTCTTGTCCAAAGCAGTGTTTATAGGGAACCACACTGAGACAGAAAGACTCATTTATATTTATGTCAGGCTTGTTTTGTTCTGCTTGGTTTGGTTTGGTGAGGAAAGGACAAGGACCTTCCAGTAGAGATAGTTTAAAGGCAGGGAGTGTTCTACTAATAGCATCCTCCCACACATCGGTGAAGTTGCAACTGCCACAAAAAGTTGCACCTTCTCCATTCTGACCTTGAGGACCCCCGATTCCCTCCTTCCCACTGCCCTCAGACTACCTACTATCTTCTGCTGACTCGTGACTGTCCCATTGCCTCATCTCTCCATTTCCTCTCCTATCCCTCACTATTTCAGTTTGGTTAAATTTCACACCAACTCACAGGATTTTCATGCAGCATTTCCCCAGTGCTTTCTTGGACAAAAGCCACCCTAGCCCTTGGTATAATAGAAATAATTATTATAGCTACTGTTATAAACTACTGCACCAGCCAGTTTACATCAATCCCAGATGGAGATATTACTCACCCTCTTCCTCCAGATCACCCAGTTGGTAAATGAAACAGATGATATTTGTTCATAGCCAGTTTCACCTGCAAAATTTTGCTTTTAAATGCCTCATAAGAGTGCCTGTTTCTTGGAATTATCTTTCGTAGCTGCTGTTGTCTCCACTAACTAGTTTCAAAGCATATGGATGATCAGATACAAAGCTTCAGCTTCCTGCCACTTCTCCCTCACTTTTGTTGGTCTTGTTAATATGGATTTTTACATTTATATTTTTATCATATGAGGAAACTTTGGGTTGGGGGTATATAAAAATTGTCAGTTGTTATGCAGAAAAGAGTCTTGGAGGTCTTCATCTCAACACCAAGAGAAGTGACTTACCTACTGAATGTCTGCAGAAGGGCTTCACGTTGAACCCAGCGTTTCCTCCAAGCTTGCTCCCTTGGACCTTTTGGAGCAGAGAGTGGAGGATTCTTTGCCAATCAGGGGCTTAAATTGCTAATCATTAATAAAAGTCATTGAACCACAGAATTGACTGAGAAGGGCTTCTTGCCAAATAGCCTTTGAAGAAGCATTCAGAAATACAGCCCAACCCCCTCTGCAGTTCTTTCTGCTTTTTGGCTGATGTAAGCTTCTCCACCTTACCCTTGTGAGTGTCTCCTCAGGACCTCAAAGGTGCTGACACTTGCAGGTAGTTATTTTGCTTTGCTTTGTGGTGTGTTTAATATCATTAGTCTGTTTTGAAAAGGTTAAAAACAGATAAATTATAATTAAATATAAGAGTTCAGTATTTTTTGTGTTTTTTTCTTTGCTATTTTTGTTTTCCCCTTCTTTGAAATTTTGTTAATGTTTTTATTTGAAATATGTAAATTGTAATGTTATGGATAAACTTGAACTTCATTCAATCTGTTGTTTTCTCTTTCCCTGGGTCCTTGTCCTTTCCTCATCAAATCAAAAAAAAAAACAAAACAAGCCTGACATAAATATAATATTATTTCTCCATTATTTATATGAGTATTCACAAACTATATATAATAATGCTTTGTATTATTTCTAAATTTGCACACATGCTACCTTGTAGCATTTATGGGTCATTCTATAACCACTTTGGAAAATAAGTAACATAACTTTGGTATACCTGTGTGTGCACAGTGAAGGCCAAACTCTCTCTATTTCTTGTGGTTAACTCTTGCTAACACCCATGAAGTCAACAACACTGTCACTGCTTTCCAAACCTGTATATAGTTCTTCTTGTCCTTGTCTCATAGATGGGGCAAAGCCCTCAGACTCCGAGCTTTCTGTAGTTTATTTCTAGCTCCCTGAATGCCCTGGGTTCATAATCCAGACTCCTTTCTTTATATGAGCATTAGAGTCAACCATGAAAATTTAAACCTTGTTCTGTGCTCTCACGACTTTCCTGGCCTTAGCTCATATTCATTACTTTGACTATAAATCTTTTCTTACTTACCTTATGGCCCTCAGGAGATCTTCTTTAGATTCTCAGTTTGACTCTTTATACCTATTTGATCTGTATTGTGAGAGGAGAGTGAGTAAACAACCTCTTAACACCCTGGCTGAAGAGTGGGAGTCTGGCAGGATATATCACAGATCAAGAATTCAGAAGCAGGAGCCTGGGTCCTGGGGAGTCCGAGCTACCATTTGCTGAGCATTTATTACGTGTCATCCTTACAATGCTTTCAGGTAACTTTTCTTATATTCTTTATAAAATAGAAGAAAAAAACAGATTTCTTCTATCTGCACTTTAAGAATTTAAGTATGGGAAATTTAAGTCCATTGTGGTGTGGGTGTAGTATCAATTTCACCTTTCTATATAAAAGATTTTCCCCTGAGTCATTTCTGAAGGACTCTGGACCCTGGGATAAATAATTATCAACTTTAGGATTCACGTATCACGGGAAATGTTTCTGACCCTGAATTATCCAAGTCAGAAAATGTTACTTGGTTTTGCAATTTAATGTTTAACTTTATTTAAAGTGCTCATGAGTTGTTTACATGCTAAGTTGTCTCTGTGTAGAAAGAATAACAATCCAGCTTTTCTTCACCTCTGTGATTAAACCCTTGAATATAAATTGAGATATTTCCTTGACTTAGGTTGTAATACCCACCTTTTAAAAAAAAATTTACATTTTCCTTTTGAATAAGATTGATTTTTAAACTGCTTTGTTTTAGCTATGGGAATCATCAGAGAAGGCAGGATACACATTTCTGCTTTAACAAGTATCCTTAGCCAGGCGTGGTGCTTCACGCCTATAATCCCAGTGGTTTGGGTGGCCAAGGCCAGAGGATTGCTTCAGTCCAGGAATTTGAGACAAGCTTGGGAAACAAAGTGAGACCTCTTCTCTACAAATTTTTTTTTTTTTTTTAAATTAGCTGGAGATGGTGGCATGCATTTGTAGTCCTAATTACTCAGGAGGCTGATGAGGATCCCTTGAGCCCAGGAGTTCAAGGTTACAGTGAGCTATGATCATGCCACTACACTCCAGCCTGGATGACACAGCAAGACTCTCTCTCAATCAAAACAACAAGCAAAAAAAAAAAAAAAAAAAAAAAACAACGTTATTTTCAGACTTGTTTTCATAAGGCTATGAACAATGTTGTTAATAATCAGTCACATGACAACTCAGCAGGATGCAGGCTCTGATTCTGGGTTATATGTCAGAGAACTCCAGGGCACAATCCTACTGTGGTCATAGGAAAGCTGTCTCTAGTCTTCCTACCTACAGAAAGCCCAGGATGGGCTAGGCAGAGGAAGCGTCTTTCAGATTCACACCCTCCCTCAAAGCTCACAACGTCCAGTAGGGATTCTGATGACTCAGGGGTAGCTGTCAAGCAAAAACACCGAATAAGCCTAAGTCTTAAAATAGAAGACTTGACTAAATGGCAGTGGTCATTCTCTGGAGCTTGGCTGGTTTTTCATGCACACTCTGGTCTAAACAGTGAACCTACATGTGATGTTATATCTGCTCAGAACCTTACATCTTCATGGTTCTGGTAAATCCTTTTATAATCAGACTCCTGTTGTACCATACCGTCTCTATGACCAATGGGGTCAGTTTGGTTACTCTAGTTATCAGTCTGACATCAGCTGGTCATGGGCTGTGCAGTCCATCTGGAACACTATTGGAACACAGCATCTCTATTATTTTGCCTTTTGTCCACTGAGCAAAATGGTGCATTTTTTGTTATCTACACAATGCATTCACTTACGTCTTAGATTGTCATACTGAAAGCACATCTTACTTTTTTCCTTAGACATGTCTGCTTTCTACTCTACTTTCCAGTTTCAATACCATTTCTTTCAGCAACTATAGTATCAGGAATGCACAGCTAAAACTGCAAAATCATATATTGAGGATAATGGCTATGGCAAAGAAAAAAGAACAAGTGTGACAAATACAATCTTTAGGAGAATACACAAAAGAAAATCAGGAGTGCTTTTGGGCTGAGGTGTTGTGTGTTTTCGGATAGAATAGTAAAAAACATGAAGTTGATATCTGTAGAGCATAAAGGATGTCATAACTCTCAAGTGAGAAAGTGTTGCATTCTTTTTATTTTTTATTTTTTTAAGTGTTGCATTCTTTAGCCAGCACAAGTTATATAATTATACCATGCTGAATTCATATCAAGATAACTTCACTTACTACCTAGAACTTGGAGCAAATGTATATTACTTTGTTGAGTCTCACTTGGAGATGATTGAAAAAAATTAGGAATAAATCATGCAGCAAAATGAAACCACCCACCATACTTTGCATAAAACAGAAAATCAATAAATGAAGGTTATCTATCATAATTATCATCATTATTATTTCTATTAACATCTCTAAATGTTATGAGTAATATTCATGACTGAAATAAAGCAATTAAAAATCAAATTCATTCAAAATAATCAAATATAATTAAATTAAAAAGTTGGAGGCAGTCATCAGTCAAAAAATATTGATGTTTTGCAAATACTATATGCATTCAAAAAAAAATGTAAAGGGAAAGCATTCCCTGCAAACAGTGAATAACATAAAATTCCCTGTATTTAATAAAACAGCATCTGTAAAACCTACAACAAATATTCCAAAGGTGAATCTTCCTGTTACAATTGGATACATAAAAGAGGTGTTTGCTACATCTATTCATCAGAAGGGGTAACTAGCACAATAACACAAGAAAGAAATGTGAAGCAATTAGAAAAGAAGTAAAACTATTCTTATTAACATGATATGATTGTCTACATTAAAAAAACAACTGTACATAAATTACTACAATTAATGTGAGTTTAGCAAGTTTAACAGATGGAAAAGTGATATTCAAAGACCAATTGCATTTTAATTACCAGCCCAAAACAAACAAAAAAAAGTGATATTATAAAAAGAGATACAATTCACAATGGCAATAAAAGAATGTAACAGCAACAAAAGGATATAAAATTTAGGAATAAATCTAACAAAAAATGTGGAAGATTATTATATAGAAAATTGTAAAACTTAAAGGTATTAAAGTTGAACTAAATAAAGAGACATAACATTTTTTATGAACAGGAACATTCAAAAATGTAGAAATCTCGTCTCTCCAGACTAATCCATATGCCATTTCAACCAAGATTCCAACACAACTTTCCATATAATTTAATTTACTAAATATATCCTGAAATAAAGATTGTGGTTATCTCTTTCTTTGTAATCATTCTACTTTACCCCTCATCCCCTTTTCAGAGACTTCTTTTAATAAGGCCTATTTAACATGAAATATGTGCTGGGCACTGTTTTAAGCACTTTACATATAATAACACCTTTACTTCTCACAGCAAACTTCTATAGTAGGTACTATTATTATGACAGTTTACAGAGAGGCCAAGTAACTTGCTAGTAAGCAATGGAGTCAGCAATCCAACCACCCAGAAAGTCTGGCTGTTGTGTCCATTCTCGTACCCTCCAGACTATTCCATCTATTAGGCAAACATTGAAACCAACTTTCAACATCAATTTCCTGTAAAATTTCCCTCTCATTGTTCTTCTTTTTCTGTCTTGGCATTACCATGAATTTGAGCGATATCAATTTGCTTCCAAGTTCCTGAGACCCTTCCCTCCCCTCCCCTCCCTTCCCTTCCCTTCCCTTCCCCTCCCCTTTCTTCCCTACCCCTCCCTTCTTCTTTCCCTCTCTCCCTCCCTTCCCTCCTTGCTTCTCTCCCTCCTTCCTTCCCTCCTCCTTCCTTCCCTCCTCCTTCCCTCTCCCTCCTCTCCTTTTCTCCCTTCTTCCTTACTTCATTCCTTTCTCATTCTTTCCTTCTTCCCTTCCTTTCTTCTTTCTTTCCTCCTTCCCTAATTCTAGGAATATTTGCCATTTTTAAGAAAACCTTCTTTTTCACACATCTAATTTTTGTTTTAAGTATGCCAGCATATGTTTCTGATATTCTTCATTTATTTATGTTAAATATTTATACTAATATTCTTCTAGTTTGGAGAGGGGTTCTAGTTTGTCTGTTTGGTGCTCTGTCTTGAGGATGTGGAGTTGCACTTGTCTGGTGGTTTTTGTTACAAGTGATGGTGTTGAATTGCCAAATAGAAGAGTATATTTCCAAAACTTAAATGTTATTTACCACTGAAGTGCAGGTTAATGAAGTTCCTGATTCCAAGAACTTGTCTTAGCAAATGAGGGTGAATGTTGGTTGTGCTGCTGGGATGGGTGTGTGAGGTGCCGGCATTTTGAATCTGGGGCTCCATGTTCTTATCTGAAACATTTTTGTTTATTGGCCCCTAGTGACCACATCAATCACTTAAAGTGTAGCTAGACTGCAAATATTAACTTGGAGAAAAATGAAAAAGGTAATTTCTCTCTTATTCTCTTCTTTTTTAATTTTATTTTTTCCTTCTGCTGCCTTTGTGAAGGGGGAGTTTGTTGCGGCTTGACATGGCTTTTCTTAGCTTCCAGGATTTACACCAAAAGCTCTTAATTTGGCTCAATTCCTTTCGATCCCTTTCTCTCCCACTCAGACCCTTATTTTTCTCTTGGTGCTAAATCAAGATGAGGAGCAAGACCATGTCAGTGCTGTTACAAGAGAGGATTAAGAGCCAAACCTATTTATTGGCCTTTGCATTGCAAGGTTTAGTTTTTATTGTACTCAATTAGTTGTGGCTTCTATTTGTCAGACACCTGTGCTTACAAGTGAAAGAAATCCAACTGAAATGGCTTTGGAAAAAAAAGAAAGAGAAAAAAAGATGGAGATAGAGGTAGGTCACAGAAGATAAGAATGAGCAGATGGAACAACACAGTTCCAGAGACCAGAGGGACTAGAATTAAATCTCTGCCCCAAAATAAATGAAGACCTTTTCAACTCTTATTTCAGCTGTTCTTTTGCACTTCCTCCCTTCTCTTAAATCTTCTCCAAGAGGCAACAGACAAGTCTATTGGCAGTTTTGGAGTCTCCTTTGTCACATTCATAAAAGAGAAGAAAAAGCAGCTGTGTTCAAAACCTAGGAAAGGCTCTTATTGGCCCAGCCCAGAGTTCTTTATTGCTGCAGCCTTGTAGGTGCAGTGCCAAGTTCTCTGATTGGTCATTCCCATCACCCCAATGTTTTTCAACCTACAAGTCATTACTCTTATCAATTAGCACCTCTTATCAATTTAGCCAGCATGATTTTTTAAACAGAATGGATGAGGCTGTAGAATGGAACAGAACAGAGTGCATTCCACTTAGTAAGAGTCACGGCTGTTCTGTAAAATTTTTGATTCTGCAACACATATGTTTACATAATAAGCCTATATAGTAATATTGCAGCACACTGTAAAAATGTACATTTTTACTCTAGGTCAGATGCACTCCAAAAGGGTTGAAATTGTCTCTTTACTGCACATTTTATGTATTTTATTTCTATTAATAATGCCTCTCCTTCCCAGATGTAATGCTTTTGCTTGGCCTTTCAAAAAGGACAGCCTAGAAAATAATTGTTCAACCATGTAATTGCTCCGCTTTTCATTACCCTGTGGGTTTAATGGGCAGATACATCTATTTCTCCTCTGGACTCTAAAGTCAAAGGTTATGTTTTGTATGCATACTTCTTTCTTTACTCTAGGTCAAACTCTATTCCACAGTCCAGTCTGGCAACTGACATAAGCTTCAGGTTGTTAGACAATGGTAGCCATCAAAGAAGCTTAAGGTGATCTAAAGTTAGGTTTAATAAAAGTAAAGTTTAGACTTACATCTGCCATATGTACCGATATTTATGAAACCACATAACCATCACATTGGGCCAAATGTTCATTCCTGGAAGATGCAACACCATTTCAGAGACAGGATTGTTACCCTTAGAGTTAGTATCAGGCAAAAGGAAATCAATCTAAACCAATGCTTTGGAGACAGGCTTATCTAGAAATGAAGTTTAGGGTACCCTCCCTAAAACTACAGGTTACAGATGTTGCTGAACTCTCCAGATCTGGACTCTGCAGAGTCGGACTTTGGCAGAAATGTGGCTGACAGAGGCCGTTGTAGGAGCTTCCTTTGGCCTGTAATCCTCTTTCATATCAGCCTGGCTGACCATCCTGGAATGAGACCTTTTGGGAAACGTGACAGCCCACAGAGTGAAACCTTTAACCAAGTGGCACATACATACCTCCCTATATTAACATATCTAAAGGCTAAATACAATCTTAACATACCAAATAAAAAGCATTAAAGCTTGTCCCTTAGGCTTGAAGAAATTAATCATTGGTTGACAAATTCATTATAACTTGAGGCAAATAAAACAGCCTACATGAACGAAATTGCTTTATAAGTGCTTTTTTGGATACCACATAAAACTGTCTTTCACAAAATCATTAGGTTGGTGCAAAAATAATCGTGGTTTTTGCTGTTAAACGTAATGGCAAAAGCCGCGATTACTTTTGCACCAACCTAATACAACTTGCATGGAAATCCAGTGCTAAACTCAGCTTTCAGAAAACCAATCTTACATAATATTGCTAAAGAAAACGAAGTGGAGACTATCAATGTAATAAATGAAAGGAATGGAGAGACTTTATTGAACTCGTGGCTGGCCTTTGGTTTTACTTTTTCTTTCCCGTCGAAAAGTTAGGTCATCTGCTCTGCTGGGCTTTATTACCTGGGGACGTGACTTGCCCTTGGCCTTGTGGTGGCTCTCGGTCTTCTTGGGCAGCAGCACGGCCTGGATGTTGGGCAGGACGCCGCCCTGCGCGATGGTGACCTTGCCCAGCAGCTTGTTGAGCTTCTCGTCGTTGCGGATGGCCAGCTGCAGGTGGCGCGGGATGATGCGGGTCTTCTTGTTGTCGCGGGCCGTGTTGCCCGCCAGCTCCAGGATCTCGGCGGTCAGGTACTCCAGCACCGCCGCCAGGTAGACCGGCGCGCCCGCCCCGACCCGCTCGGCGTAGTTGTCCTTCCGGAGCAGATAGCGCTGCAGCCCTGTCAGGGAAGACCAAGTCTGGGATTTCAGCGCGAGCCTGCTTCCCACAGCGAGATGTCCCCTGCGAAATAGCGCCCTCTAATGCCAAACCCAAAGCAGAGGCGAATAAGGATTGTACACACACCCCGCCCCCACCCACACCCACAGCTTAATGGCTAACTTCTTTGGAAGGTGCCTCATCTAAACCAAAAGCAGAGGGAATAAAGACTATATCCCTTAAACACACACACACACACACACACACACACACACACACAGATCTTAATGGCTAACTTCTCTGGAAGGTGCCTCATCCAAGCAAAGTAGAACTGCAGATACTTTTACATGCCTTTTCCCATTATTTTTTATCCAATCAGACTTTTTTTCAGACTTCCTTCGAATACAAGCATCTGCCGGATTTTCCTTGTCACCTGTAGACAATTGTTATCTTTTCAAGGAAGCCAGAAACAAATTTTGATATGCCTAAAGTTTTGAAGCATTCTACAATCTCTAGAAAGGGCTCCAAGAAAGCCATGTGTAATATGTATTTTTGTATAATATGAGAATATTTATTTCTTCTATAGAGGGAAAGAACATGAATGGGATGGGGATGTATGAGAGTTATATGTTATGTGTTCATGGAAATTAATAAGTAGATCACACATAGGTTAAGAAATGGGAGGACCAAGAGATACCTACATTCATGAGGCCTGACATAAACAAGACACCTGGGCACAAGATACCTATGGTATACTAAATATATAGCAAACACTCAATATCCAGGGTACACCTAAGGTTATAGGAGCACCCAGTATTTTCAAGACCTTGATTCAACCACCTACTGGGTACACCCATTCTGTCACCGTGTGTTCTCTGTTCAAGAAACACACTACTATTCAGCCTTTAACAATAAGGAAGTCATGCTATTTGTGAAAACATGGATGAATCTAAGGAACATTAGGGTAAGCAAAAAAAAAAAAAAAAAGGCAGGCACAGAAAGACAAACACTGCATAATCTCACTTGTATATGGAATCTAAGAATATCAAATTTATAGAAGCAGGAGAACAGAGGTTATCAAACGCTATGGGTTGGGAAAATGTTGGTCAAAGTATACAAAATTTTAGTTAGGAGGAATAAGTGAGGTTCAGGAGATCTATTGTACAACAAATAAGTGTGCTCCAACATGGGCATTTCATCCAAGGCAACATGTATTAGAACTATTTTATCAAGGATATCGTCAAACACACAGTAGAACAAGACTCCCTGTAGGCTCACTGTAACAGGTGCTGCACTGTCACCTCCAGAGGGAGCTAATGATCTGTGCACCTGCTCCTCCTCAGGGACTTGAGTAGGTATGCTACTTCTGAGGACATTAAGGCCATTATCAATTACACCCATTCTACCCAAAGAAGCTACTGTTGAGGATTCAAAGAGCATAAGACAAAGACTGTGTTCACAGCCATCAACACTTTCCGTTAATAGCTACCTCTTAATGTATTCATATTTCTGATGGATATCTCTTTGTATTACCTCTTTGTGAATTGTTCAGGATCCTATATAATTGACTTAGTAAAACTTTTCTCTTTCCTATCTTAAATTTTAAAAAGTAGGTCTGTTTTGTTTCTGATTTTTCCTAATGAAGGATAGCATATGCTTGTATGTTTGTGTTTCAGAAAACCTACTATGTTGCCAAAAGTGGTCTCAGTTCACTTTTAGTGAAGGCCCCTATATTAATGCGTTCTCATGCTGCTAATAAAGACATACCTGAGACAGGGTAATTTATAAAGGAAAGAGGTTTAACAGACTCACAGTTCAGCATGACTAGACAGGCCTCATAATCATGGCAGGAGGCAAAGGAGAAGCAAAGACATGTCTTACATGGCAGCAGGCAAAAGAGTGTGTGCAGGGGAATTCCCATTTATTAAAAAACATCGGATCTCATGAGACTTCTACACTACGATGAGAACAAGATGAATCATGGGGGCAATGGCCCCCATGTTTCAATTATCCCTACCTGGTCCCACCTTTGACATGTGAGGATTATTACAATTCAAGGTGAGATTTGGGTGGGGACACAGCAAAACCATATCAGCCCCATTGCTTTTAGTGTGAGTAGCCTGAATTTATCTAATTATTGAGGTTAGACACATATTGCATAATTGTTGGATTTAATTTTTTTCTGGATTCAACTGCCATCATCTTGTGTCTTAGTTTTAACCTATTTTTGGCCACAGTAGGACAACTGTCCTTTGAAAATCTTGGAATTATCTTTGATTCCAATTGAACTGTGCAAACACCTTGTTTTTCAACTTCTGAAGAAACCTCTATCAGAATTGCATTGAATTTTTAGATTAATGTAGATGATAGACATTTGTATAGACTTGTGATTTGCCATTTCAGGAGCTAGATACTTTGAGGTATACAAACTCTTTAAGTACTTCTGTAAAGCTTTATGATTTTCTTCATAGAGCTTTACACATTTTATGCAGCTTAAGTTGTTTTTCTTGCTAATAATATATCTATATATAAATATAATAAGAGACGGTTACATTATATTTTCTAATTGCTTTTCTATGAATGAATGCTATTGATATTTATGTTATAATATTGTATTTGGCTGCTTTGCTAAATTTTATCATTTTGGTTTTCCAGGTTTTCCACTAGGACGTTCCAGGTGGACAGTAATCTTTCAAGCAGGTAAGTAGTTTCTAAGCAGTACCACAGGGGCAGCTGCTAGGCGAGCTTGCTGCATTTTTATATATTTAGCCAGGAAGGAGACAATGAATCCAAATGTTAGACAGTTTGTCTTAGTCATTTGGACTGCCGTGAAAAATTAGGCTTAAACAATAGAAATTTATTTCTCACAGTTCCAGAGGGTGAGAACTCCAAGATCAAGGTACTAGGAGGTCCAATGTCTGCTGAGGACCCACTTTCTGACTTACAAATGGCCATCTTCTCCCTATATCCCCACATGCCAGAAAGCAGAAAAACAGAGAGAAAGCAAGCGCTCTCTTGTTTTATAAGGGTGCAGTCACAATCAATTTTAGAAAAATTATAGAATAATAATAAGGAAGATCTTAGGGGAAAGGACCCATCTCAACGTCCTCAAATAGATTCATAGCAGCAAAAGCAAATATAGAAGTTGGCCTATGACGATGAAGTCAGGAATGCTTTGATGTGCCTCAATGTCCTCTTCAGTAAGACTAGCCATGCCTGTCTTTAACCATAGTCGTAGACCATTTCATGCTGCTGTAACAAAATACCACAGACTGTATAATTTATAAATGAAAGAAATGTATTTATCACATTTCTGGACGCTGGTAGTCTAAGATCAAGGTGCTGGCAGGATTGGTGTCTGGTAAAGGCTAGGTCTCCACTTCCAAGATAGTGCTTTGTTGCTGCATTCTCCAAAGGGAAAAAAACACTATGACCTTACATGGAAGGGCAAGAGGGCCAAATTCACTCTGAAACTTTTTTGTTAGGACACCTAATTCCTTTTATGTGGTTGGAGTCCTCATTACCTAATCATTTCCCAAAAGCTCCAGCTTCTCAGTACCACCAACAAAAGGATTATGTTTAACATGAATTTTGAAGGGAACACAATCATTCAAACTAGAGCAACCATAGACTGGTTTTTAATTGTTTTTGTTCTTTGGACAAAGAGCAAAAATCCATTCTTTAACTGGATTTCAAGCTTCCTCTTTACATCTCCCTTATTCTTTATATATTCCCTAATGACAAACTAAGATTAAGAACAAAGTTGACTTCTTCATAAAGAGAAAAGTGATGATGGGTCGGGACGAAGGACCAAGTTTATTTTATTGGCTGTCATGCTGGGATTGGGGTTTTCATTGTATCAAGTTAAAGGTTGTGGATTACCTATGTCAGGCATATATGATCCCTCAGGCAGAAAGCCACATTGAGCCAACTTCAGCAAAGAAAGCAACTGGAGTAAGGGAGCTCGCTGAATAGAAAGAACAATGGATTGAGCAAGAAGAGCTCCATCTCAAGGTATAGAATTCAAGACTTTAATCCCATTCTCTTCCTCCCCCTTTCCTTCCATCTCCCTTCTTTTGTTCCCTCTCTCCCTCTCATTCTCTCTCCTTTCTTTTATTTGCTTTCTCTTTCCTCATCTATGACACATTTGCTCTAATATCTGCTGTTTTCTTGCCCATCACTTTCCTTCAGTTAATCTTTTCTAAGAGAGAAAAGGCCCTTACCTGGAAGTCTGGTGTCTCATCCTTCTGTCTTTGCTATAAGAGAAGAAGAGGTGTTTGGGTTCTGCTTCCAGATCAGAGAGTCTCAGCAAAAACTCTTATTGGCTCATTTGTGGTCACTTCCCTAATTCGTGAACGTATTGCCCCAGCTGATAGAGGTAGAGTTCTCCCATGGGCCAAGCTTGTAGGGACCTTTGGTAACTTGGGGGGCTCTGACTAGCTGTTACCATAAAACCAAAGTTTTCCGGAGTACTAATCTTGACTCACTAGTGAAATCAATTTGAATGGATATGAACAATATATATATTTTTAAATGAGATATATAATAGGATAAATCAAGGCCTTATTCAATAAAATTTAAAATTTCAGAGTGTATTTTGCTCTGAAATTAAAGTAACTGGTAAATATTCTATTTCATTTATATGTGTTTGTGTTTCTGAATATGTCCTGTTACACTATAATACTATATTTTTTATTGGGTGATGTTGTCAGAAAAGTTTCTAAAACCCTTCTCTGTGGCACATATTTTATACATTTTATTTATGTTAATAATCTCACATTTAACACACGTGATTTATTCTTTACAGCAAAAGGTAGTATTTCTTTCAGTTACCTTTTAAAAAGCTCACATTATCAAATAATCATTCAATCAATTAATCTCTGCTTCTCTTACATGCATTGATTTAATAAGTATGTACACTAGTTTCTCCATTGATTCTCTAGATTTGAGCCTTATTTTCCTTTTGTTCTTACAAAACTGACTTGTCTATATGCCCATTTCTACTTCCTTTATTCTATCACCTTCCTCAATTTGTTCTGTAGTCAAAGAATAGAGAAACAATATTAATAATACGCTTTTCTCATCAATGGCTTCCACCTGTTTTCTGAGAAAATCAGCTTCAAGAACTTTAGCTTGATATTACTGCAAATATAATACAGTCAAAATCATAAAAATATTTCAAACGTTTTTTTTTTTGTTTGTTTCTTTGAAGTATATGTGAACAAGTATGTTTCTCTACTGTAGTACAATTTGTGTGAAAATCTGGGATGCATTTAAGAGGATGCCCTAAAATACCAATATGCAATGGATTCTAAGTCATGTATTGTATCACATTTTTGCCCATGGATTGTTGAAATCCATGGGCAAAATTGACAGTTTTATAGAACTTCCTTTGTCTAGTTAGTGGCAGTCTTGATATAATCACACCACCTATTGACCAAATGTCTAAAGCAGCAGCCCCAAAACTTGTAGAGTAGGTGTTAGTGATTTGGAGGAACTCTCTAGAGCAACATTAGAGGCATTTTAAACCCCTAGCAACTAAATGATCATTAGAAGTGAGTGATTTCCTCACTCATGACCCCACCTGCTGTAATTTCTGTTGTTTTGTCGGAGAAATTAGAGCAGGTGGGTTCATGGGTGAGGAATGAGGTGTTGAAAGTGAATGAGGTGTTGAAAGCAAGGTATTTGGCAACATTCTGAAAGCATACATTTAAATAGGCTATCCGGACAGTGTCAATAGTGAAGTGTCAAGGTAAGTATTCATATTTTATTCTAAGAACTATTTTTAGAAAGGCTGCATCAACAAATCTCAGATGGCACAGGAGTTGTCATATTTGAATAATATGAATATCAGTAATTTCAGTTGGAAAAGATTTTTGAAGAGCCATCTAGATTTCCAAAATAAGTGATGTAGCCATATTAAGTACTATATTTTCCTGCCTGTTAATCTACTGCCTGTGAATTGCTTATCAAAACAACAATCAACTGGAATACATAGACTGCACGTCTTGTTCATTTCCTGCATTTGCAAGTACTGTACGTAGTGGTTTAATGGTTTAACAAACTCATGAGCTTACTCTTTGATCTGAACCACGTTTAATTTCAATTATATTGATTTACTCTAACAATGCAGAATTTATTTTATAGTTATGTAGGAACTGGAATCCAAAATGTAATATACCTCCAAGCTTCTCTTTGTCAGCCTCTGAAGGAATATCACCCCTACAACTTCAGCATTGTTATAAATACCTCTGGGGAAGTGTTCACCTCAGGCCCCAAATTTGAAAAAGCGAGGTGCCGCTTTGGAGGAGTGCTCTGAGCAGCTGATCCAATAAATGTCCTCACCACATGCACGTGGAAGTGTCATTGCAATTATCTGCACCAACAGAAGCTCAGTGACT